ATAACCACTTATTCATTACATATGAATCATTTCAAAAATTATTTAATTCCATTAACAGAGACAGCAAATTCAAATTAATTTTAAGATTCGAAACCAAATCCTAAAACTTTTATGGTACCTGTTTTATGGTTAGACATTTTTGGTTACGGGTAAATTTTTACTTAGTGGTTTTGGGAGTGTCCATTTTTTTTTTTTTTTTTTTTTTTTTTTAAAAAAACCTTTACTATTAATAATTAAGGTATATATTTTCTTTGTTTCAGATCACCAGGCTTCCCTTGTAGCTGTACGTCAGGAATATAGGCAAAGTATAGAAAGACTGAAGGTAACAAAGACATTTCATTGATATCTTGTATTGGTTAGTACCTCACCTTAGTGTAAAGGTTAGTAATCTTGTCTAATAAAATTATTTGCTACTGAAGTGAGTTCAGTCCTAACAAGTTAACTGATATGTGGCTTTATGACACAGTGAATTAAGCATAGTAAATACTAATTTCTTTTATTAGCTTTACAGTATTTGTTTTTCCATATTACTTAAGCAGGTATCTTCATGAATATCAACATAATTTGATAAGATAATAATAATAATGTGCAGGTGGTGCAATTCTTAGTGGTTTGGAATGAGAAATCTACGAGTCAAGTTCAATATCCACCCAAATCCATTACATTAACTTACACTCAAATAAACTTGGAAAAGGTATGCATCAATCTCTTCTCCCACCATCTATGGATTAAATAGCAGCATTGATTGGCAGGTTAACAATTTTAATGAAACCGCTGTTAATAAACCCACACATCAAAATTTCAAGTAAAATGGATTTACTTCCTAAGCAAACAATATACGAAATAATAATAAATCAATGTGTTCGAAGGTCGATTGTAGGTGAGATTATAATCATTGTGAACTCTGTGATCTCATCAATGACTGCATAGTATATGCATGTGCTATGCCTGAGCCAGATACAGTTTTGAATTCAGAATTGTTTCTCTTAGTCTGGTTGCCAACCAAAGCTAAAGAACCCAATTTGCCCTGCTATATATGAAAATGGACACGGAGGTCAACACCAAATGGCAACAGTCTGTTTCATGCTTGAATGCAATCTTCAGGCTATGTGTGTTGTGTTTTTGATTTGGCTTGACTGTTTATATATCCTGGTCAATGGTGCATTGTAGGTAGTAAAATCTATTGTATTATCCAAATGGTTATTGGTTTGGTCAGTAATGGTTATATTTCAAATTATTCTATAAGATATTGACTAGAAATTATTATGGATTCGAATCTGGTTATTTGTAGTTATTTTATTATGTTGTTTGTTAACTTTTTACTCATTATCTATTATTGATTACTTAATTACTTGTTGATTTATTTTGTTATCATTACATTTACTTGTGTTTTGTATTCATTACATATATATATATATATATATATATATATATATATATATATATATATATATATATATATATATATATATAATGAAAAATTTTGAAAAAAACAAAAAAAATCCTTAAATGTTGTTTTAAAATGAATGAAATGTCGACGTCTGACGTTTCGGTTTAATAAACCTTTTTCAAGACAATATTCATTAAAATACAATTCAGTTGAATATGATGGACATGGACAAAAACACAAGTCTTATCCAAAACAGATAACTGAAAATTTTTAAAACGATCAGCTTTCCGTCTAACATGGTCACGCCGTCGTCACATGGGCGACGCTTTCAAAACGTATTCCTAAAAGTTTGTGATTATTTTGAAATGAAAAGAAAATGAAAAGAATTCTATTAGGTTCTAAAATTTTTATGTGTATGCTTGTCGTCAATCTCAAGCTAAAAAGGGAAATATTAAAGAAACCAGGTCTAGTATTCACTGTGCGTGAGATGGATATTATACCTGCTTCATAAATCCTCCTGAGATTTTTATTATGAAAAATATTTTAATACTTTCACGGAATCGAAATCGAATTATGATCTGCTTTAGTTGTGTGTACAACTAAAGCATTGTTAAATTTCCGAGGCGAATATCTCGTTTATGTTCGAAAACACGAGATTTTACGGACCTACATGTTTTTCACCCACATATTTTAGGTCACAGTTTTTGCATGATATTTGATAGATGCAAGCATCGGATCTAATATGTTGTCTGTTGGTGCTATTTAATAAACTATGGATAGTTCTAGTAGGTAATATAGTAGTTCTAATTTTTAATGCATTTAAATTTTCAGTTATCTGTTTTGGATAAGACTTGTGTTTTTTATGTCCATCATATTCAACTGTATTGTATTTTAATGAATATTGTCTTGAAAAAGGTTTATTAAACCGAAACTTCAGACGTCGACATTTCATTCATTTTAAACAACATTTAAGGATTTTGTTTGTTTTTTAAAATTTTCTTCATTCATTCTATCCATCTACACTTGCTTATATATATATATATATATTATATATATATATATATATATATATATATATATATATATATATATACAGATAATAAGAAAGAACAGTAAGATTTATAAACTGTTGTTCTTAGCAATTATTTTTATTTAAAAAAAAAACATTGCTTGATACAAACAATAGAACAAAATATAATTATTTTCTTTTCAAAATATTTTTCCATTACCCGGGTATAAAAATTTCCATGTTTCAAAACTGAAGCTAAATTTATAAATTTAATTATGAAAATTAAACATAAATTCCATACGGACTACGGATATTAAGTTTAATTTTTATAATTAAATTTATAAATTTAACGAAATTTATAAATTATAAAAATTAAACTTAATATCCGTAGTCCATATGGAATTTATGTTTAATTTTCATAATTAAATTTATAAATTTAGCTTCAGTTTTGAAACATGGAAATTTTCTGTGTTGCGATGGAATCATATTTTTGAAAAGAAAATAATTATAATATTTTGTATGTATATATATATATATATATATGTATATATATATATATATATATATATATATATACACACACACACACACAGCATCGAATGAAGAAAAGTATTCACATTTAAAAAATATGTTGAAAATTGTCAGTATGTAGCAATATTAATTTTACACTGAGCCATTTGATAAAAGCTGTCCTTGAGGTCTTTTTGTCCTAAAACTAATGGATCTAAAACATTACCCTAAGGGTAACGGATTAAACAAATGTTACCTGGGATGCTCTAGAATTTGTGTTGCTTTTATCAGATTTCTTCATTACTTCTAAATTTAATCCATTTCATTCACAGGAAGATCACCAACAAGAGTTAGAAAAAATCAAGGATCATGAAAAAACACAGATAAAATTGTACAAGCAGAAGTTGGCTCAATTAAAAGAGCAGTTTGAGAAATACCAGGTGCTTGCGGGAATCGAGCAGCTGACCCGTTCGGCACTAGACGATGCTGAAAAGGCAGCCTTGGACTTGAACAATTCGCAAACAAGCCAAAACGGCCTGTATCTAGGGGAGATTTCCAGTTCCTCTGGTACGCCAACATCATCTCAGTACCACACCCCTGCGGCCACACCGGATTGTGCCTCACGCGGATTTCCCGTTAACTATTCCAGCCCTGGCGATGACATCTACTCAACCCCTATTGGGGATCGGTCACAGTCACGTCTGTCTCCTGCCCGGCAACTCTCTTCCCCGGCTGTCGGCAGGCCTCTAGTTTCCGTGTCCCCTCCATCGCCAGAGAAGAGGACTCCGAATGCAGGGAATAAAAACAGTGCCGATGATGACCATGCCAAGGCCACTACACCACCTACTCCAGTCCCTACTCCTGGCCCTCCACCACCACCACCACCTCCACTTCCGCCACTCTCTAATGATTCTGGACCACCACCACCACCACCACCTGGAGTGCCACCACCTCCACCTCTTCCACCAATTGGAGGAGGAGGTCCTCCTCCCCCGCCACCTCCTCCTCCTCCTCCCCCTCCTCCAGGTGGTGGCATTCCTCCACCTCCACCCTTACCTGGAAAAGGTGGTCCTCCCCCTCCACCTCCTCCTCCTTTACCTGGCGGAGGCCCAGCACCTCCTCCACTTCCTTTTGAAGGATATTCAATGGCAATGTATGATAGTAAGTATATTTTATATAATTTATTTTTTTATTTCACCCTAACAGTTGTGATTGATTTTTTTTTTTTTTTTTTTTTTTTTTCAGCTTATCATATCAGCTTATTCCGGATTATTTAATACCAAAACACATTTCAGATTGAGGAAATTGTAAGTCAAAATGGGAAATGTTTACTTGTGATGCATTTCATCCATTAAGACACTTCATCAGACTGTGTTTGCAGATATTGTTTTGATTATGCATGCACATTAATGAGAGATACTGGTAGTTTAAAAATTTTTGAAAGAATTTTTTGAAATATTTTCTTTTGCAATCTAGCCAAAATCATCTATATTCTTTTTTTTTCTCTTTCCATCATCTTTCTTATTAAATATCCCACATAACAAAAAAATCTGCCAAGAATGGTGAAACGTTGTAAGAACTTGGACGTAAATTTACTCTGACTGAACTAGTAATTAAAGCACTTTCCAGACGTTTTCGTCTTAGTGAGTTATTTTCTCTTTTAATTAGAATAGCATTTTTTATGTTAAAATTGTTGTCAGTTTCGTTGGGGGTGAACAACCAATACGTTTTGTTATTACAATGTGGAATATTTAAAAACAAAGATGATGGAAAAATTAAGAAAAATAATATAGATGAATTTGGCTAGATTGAAAACAAAAATTTAATTAAAAAAAAAAAAAACTTTCAAAAATTTTGAAACTACATTCATCTCTCATTCCTGCACATGTGTACTCATAATGACATAAAAATAAAACAGTCCAATGAAGTCCTGACGGATGAAACACATCACAAGAAACTTTTCCCATTTTGTCTTATAATTTCCTCAATACTGTTCTTGATATATAAAAATATATATTATTATTTCATATCATATTTCAGATTGTAGGGGGTGGTGCTTGCAGTACCCAATGTTCACAAGCAGTTCACCATCTAAGTATCAATTGGGCTCAACACTGCTTAAATTCGGTGATTGAATGAGCACTCATGTTTTCAGTGGGATTTCACTGTAAGCTGGCAGTTGTTAGTTCAATCTCAGTGTTTAGTAGTGCTGAAAAGTCACATACTTCATTACAGTGGAAGAAACAGACAAGCACCATAGAGGTGAATAAGACAAATTAGTAATGTCCGCAAAAAAAAAGATGGTTATACCCTTGACACCATTATTACTGTATTACTACATAATAGACAGCAAGTCACACTCTTTATTTAGTACTGCTTAGTTATTGCTAGCCACAGTACCCCAGGTATGGAACTCATGATTACCATGTCACCGAATTCAAGAACTAACCTTTTAATCTTCTTAGCTATTGTCCTGTGGGTCAATTCTGCATTGTGAACTTGGAGCCTTAAACCTAATCTACCTGCTGATGAGTGCAGCTGCTGCTACTTTGCATGCTTGACTGCACTACTGCTTTTCTTTTGTTACAGCTGCTGCTGCTCCTATTAAAAACCTGCTGTCATTTGTCTTTCTTTGTTTACTCATGGCTCCCATATTGTATTTATTTCTATGCTAGGCTTACTAAGGAGATCCTCATAGTCCTGCATTGCCTGATTTCTGTCCTTCCCTTCATTACTGCTTTTGTATATGCCTCCAATTTTATTTGTAGGGATAAAGATAGTTTCATCCTTGTATTCTTTGCCACAGCTGCAGTCAATGGAGTACACCCAGTTCTTGGTCATTTTCTCCCCTGTGTTAGGCTTGACTCTGTAGAGATTTTATCTGTAGAGTAGAGCTGCTTCTGAATATTGATCTGATGTTGTACGAACTACAGATCTTCTGTATCTTTTTCAATAAGCCCTTGATGTAAGGCAGACAGACTGTGGCAATTTTCTAATCATCTTCCATTTACGTTTTTGTTTCTACCTGCAGATACTGATGTTATGTTTGCAGAGTCATTTTTATTCAGAAGGGTGAACATGATGTTGATCCTTTACTGTTGGTCTGGGTCACCATTTATGGTTTTGCTCTGTGTTGTTGGCATTAGACAATTCCTTTCTTCACACCATGTAGATGCTGCTAATTGAAGTTCTATATAAATCTTCAATCAAAAATGGAGAAAAACTTACCCCCAAATTGAGCAGTTCTAGACAATTTAAAATTGTGCTCAATACATAAATTCTAGAGCAACAATAAGTTGGAAAATGATCCTGGAATATATATATATATATATATATATATATATATATATATATATAAACTTTATTTCAATCCTTCATGAGCTTCTGATCCTTAGCTATGATTAATTAATGATGAACATGTCATTTTCGTTTATGATCGATTTCATCACGATTCTTCTGTTAAGCTTGGAAAGTAATTATACATTGCTTAAAGTAGAGTCCAATAGTGTTATAAAAACCTCTAGGAATTCTAGTAAGATATCTTTAATCATTTCTATGATACAACAGTTTAAAGCTTTAATCTAACAATTGTACAAATCAAACTAAAGTTATTATGTTGGTACAACTACATATGTGCATGTAAACAAGGGGTGCTGGGAATTTAAAAAGTTTTTTTTTTATATCCAACTGTATTCATCCCTTGTTCCTTCGCATCAAGTCCCCCATCAATTTGGACATACATAATATTATTAAAAATAAACTCAACCCCTACTGTTTGCTAAATGCATAAACTCCAAAAACAGATCTTCTGGAAACAATGCAGGACCCAGGTGACCAATTTGTTTTTAATTGTGTTCCTAAATTTCTCCTCCACAATTATTATTTTGGTTTCTGTGAACATTGTCTCTTTTCTCATCTTATTTATACCAATGGCTTCCTTCTGAAGAAGTGTTAGTTGTAAGGATCCTAAAGGAAAATGTCTATGTGCCTTTTCAAGTCAGTATATTTGTTCTGTTGTATTAAGTCTTTGTTCACACACACATACATATATATATATATATATATATATATATATATATATATATATTCATTTGTGTAACAATGTTATCATTTTTATTTACAGCATCTACTAAACCTGTGATACATACAAAGTCAATAATGAAACCTCTTTTTTGGACAAGAATTCAAGTTAAAGACATCCGGAGAAAACAAGCAATGAATCAAATGTAAGTACATCCTTTTTCTCCTCCAATTTTCTTTTTGTCACAATGAGGGATGCCTGGTTCTGGGGATTCTAACCCTGAGGCAGCACCTCCCTCACTGCACCTAAGAGAGAGGGTTGGCAAATACTCAAACTATAGATTGAGGTGATTCTGAGAGAATTAGAAGTCCTACCAGGATTTTCAGTTACAATCTTAACGACATAAAATATGCAGATGACACGGTGTTGATAGCAGATGCAGAAAGGAAACTGTGAGAAATCCTACAGTACATAGGAAAGCAAGAAGAAAGGACTAAAGATCAATTGCAAAAAACAGAATTAATGGTTGTCAGCAAAAGGAACAGCACAGCATACAAATTACACATTGGGGATACCAAAATCAAACAAATACAAAAAATTAAATATCTGGGAATTGTTTTAATGGTGGATGGGAGGTGCAACACTGACATACAAAGGTGCATCTGAATAGCAAAAGATGCCTTCCAAAAGCTAAGCAAAGTATTAAGAAACAGGAAAATTTCATTGGAAACAAAGAAAAGAGTACTGAACTGTTACGTAATATCAGTCCCCCTATATGGTAGCAAATGCTGGACAATATCCTCACAGATGAAGAAGAGGTCTGAAGCTATAGAAATGTGCTTCTGCAGAAGGATGCTGAAAATACCATGGACTGAACATGTGAGCAACAACAAAGTTTTAGAGAAAATGGAAACAAAAAGGAAACTTATGCTTAACTGCAGGAAAAGACAGTTGACATTTATAAGGCACATAATGAGGAAAAAGGGCTTGGAAAATTTGATACTCACAGGACAGGTTGAGGGCAAAAGGTACAGAGGGTAAGCAATTAATTTAGAGCTCCAAAGAACAGGAAATTGTAGAGAGTCATGATTGCCAACATCCTGAAGAGACACATCACATAAAAGAAGAGGGACCGAGATAACCAGTTAGCTCTTTCTCTTTTCCTCCTCCATTTTCTTTTTTTTTTTTTCTTAATTTCATATTGCCAACTATTGTAGTTTTTGTCACTTTTAATTATGTCCGTTTTTGTCGCTTTAATCTAATTTTATTCCTTTAATCACATCTTTTATCTTGGTTCCTCTGTAGACATGCAGTTACAGCAGAAAATGTTTTTCCTTTGTACTATTTTAGAAAAAGAATGATTTATAATTTTATTTCTTTCCAAACAGTCCTTCCACAGAAGAAGATATTTTATGGGAGAAATTGGAGGATATAGAAATAGACATGGATGAATTTGATGATATGTTTTCCAAACCACCTGCTGATAATATTCTCCGTGCAATGGCCAAACCGAAACCAAAAACCAAAGAGGTAATTTACTCTCATAATATATATATATATATATATATATATATATATATATATATATATATATATATATATATACATATAAGAAAAAAAGTTATAAAGACTTATCTTTCTGACTTCAAGTTTTGCAGATACACTGCTTGTGATGGTTAATTAGATAAATCTGTTGAAACTCATTAGTTGATAGCAGAGCAAAAGATAAAGACACTATAAAGGAAAAAAACTTCAGTCCTCAGTTTTGCCTTGGACTGGCAAATGGGAATAGACATAAGCAAGCAGTTAAAATTCCCACAGAAAATATTACAAACACAGATGTGTTCAGACATGATTATTTATTTGGATAAAACAATGTAAGTTATCATTTTAGAATTAACAGTCCCTTGGGAAGAGAATATAGACAAAACCCAAAAAAGAAAGTTTGGAAAATATTTACATATTGTAGAGGAATGCAAAAGTCAGTGTTGGCGAGCTCAGTGTGAATCGATTGAAATAGGAAGCTGAGACTTCACTAGATGGTCACTTTGTAAGATGATATCAAAATTAGGATTAATGGGCTTGGAGAAAAACAAGACTGTTTGCTCAATATTGGCAGTGATTGGCAGTTAGCAGATCCTTCTTTATAGAAGGAAGTGACATGCAAGTCAATTCCAGAACAGTATTAGCTGGATCACCATGGAAAAGGGATATGATGTTGAAAGAACTGAAACTTCTAATGATCCTCGGCTAGAAACATCACTGTTGATGGGTGCCAAAACGATGTATATAAAATATTAAAATATATGTGTATATGTATATATATATATATATATATATATATATATATATATATATATATATATAAAATTTAAAATATATGCATCACTTTAAAAATGCTAATTATTGACCATAAACAAATTTCAAATTTAATGTATTCAATAGATTTTTCTGATCTTGACAACTGGTCTATCCATGAAACATGAAGATGGAAAGATAAGTTTTTGAACTTTCATTTAGTAGCTGTTATTGCTTTATTTTTTAACATTGAGCATTTTCTTTACAAAAATTTGCTCACCTTTGAATGTGTTAAATCCCAGTAATTTACTGGACTACTTGTTTTGTTTGTGTGGTTGTTATACATGTACTCACACACACACACACACCTAGGTACTTCCACTTGCTCATTGAAAAGTAGCATAGCAATATGCTAACCACTTGGCCATGTGTTCAAAATTACATACACACACATATATGTATGCACACACAAAAATACAAGTTTTATTAAAAGAACAATGAATGTTCTGTGATTAAGGATTTTTTTAAGGATGTATTTAATGTCAAGGTTTGATCTCCATACAAATATTGTTCAAATTTTGAATGCTTTTGGCTTCAATAACCTATTGACAAAGAATTATTATTACTACTAATAATAATAATAAATATTGTATATGTACCATATTTTACATAAAAAAACTGATTGTAAAAATTCACACTATACACTAGTATATATGGTAAGAATTTTGAATTTATTTTATGTACCATGTTACAAATCAGCTTCAAATATCATGTCATCGTGTGCAAGGGTGGGGGTTCATTTTATGATTATGGCTTTTAATATTTGTAGTCTATTTTTACTACACACACACACACACACATGTATGAGGTGGGTATTGAAATATTTTTGGCTTAGCCCACTCTAACCAAAGGACCAAAACATCAGATATTTTGAAAAGCTGATCAGGCTGAGAAACTTTCTGCACTCTATTGTATAAATATGTTCACCTATCCTTTAGTTCACACTCCTTTCTAGTCTTTTGAACAGGAGTAGAGGTTTATCCCTCGTTTCCTGTTCAGGATTGGGTTTTCAGTTCTTTCTAAAGTCTTCTCTTTTTTTTTTTTTCACAATAGCCCCTTGCATCTTAGTGGTATTATCGCATTGCTTAGGGAAGGAGTTTATTTAACTTTTGACAGTTTTGGGGCACCTGGTGAGGATTGATCTTACAAGGGCTTGTAAGATTAGCATCTTGATTATTTGTTTATAGCTGGTTCTTTCTATATTTTATATTCTTTTTATATTCATACAAGGCTTGTTTATAATGATTTCAGTTTGTTTTTAAATGCTATTTTTTTTTTTTCTTTTAAGGTTGCTAAACTGCTCGATGCGAAGAGGTCCCAAGCAATTGGTATTTTCTTATCAAGTATTCGTCTAGAAATGGCAGACATTGAGAATGGTAAGTTTACAAGGATTATGAATACTAAGCTTTTATGGACTGAATGCTAAGTAAGTACCTGCAGACAGCAGGTACTGAGTAAATGTCCATGGGCTTGGAATGCAGTACAAACAGAAACACTTCTGTGGAGTTGCTCAGTCAACCATGAGATACCATTGAGTGAGCTTGTGTTCTGTGTTCACAATGACCAAGTGGGTAGATTTTTTAAATGTTTTGGCAAAACATGGCATCACCTAGTTTTGTCAGGTCCCTACAGTTTGGATATGGCTTCTGCAACTTCTGGTTTTCTCAAATCTAAAATTACTATTGAAACACTATGGACAAGATTAAGGAGAATGTGTTAATAGTAATCCTGAAAATGGACTTTGCAGGCTATGAAAAGTGAGAGATACAGGGGCAAGTACGTGAGGTACCAAATAGAGTACTTTGAAGAGGATCAAAGTGCCATTGCCCTGGCTGGATAATTTCCAGACATATTTTAAAATTGAGATTCAACCAAATTTTCTGAAAAATAAATTACTGAAACTAACAATAGAACATTTCATTTCTTCTTTGCTGTAAACATTTCTCTCTGAAATGTAACTCATAAAATGTTGATGGTTTTTTATTTACTGCAGAATTTTAGCTAATCTATGAGTAGTAGTATCTATTTGGGTTCCCTGCCCTATAAAGTATTTATTAAAATACCTTTGCAAGCTGGATCCTGCAATATTTTAATTTTGAGATTTTTAAATGAAAAAAATAGATTTGACTTAAATTAGGTTTGACTTAAATTATTACTTTGGATTATTATCACAACATCTAATTCCTAGTATGAATTTTATTAGGAAAATTAATGACAAAGTAGAAAAAAAATTTTTCATTTGATGCTTGATTGATTGATTCATTTTCTATGGCTTATCAATCCTTTGCATATTATTTAAAGCCAGAAAATATTTTCAAATTTTTTAATTTTTTTTTTTTTTTTTTTAGATAATTATGATTTAGGGAGAGAAGTCTTACTAATTAACCCATAGATAAGGGAAGAAGTAGATTCATACCTTTCCATGGGTATTTGTTTGTAAGTGAATATAACGAACCCAACTGAAATTGGAACTTAGTTCTCACATTAAAAATCCGAGTCATTATCCATTATACCACCTATGCATGAAAGCTTACAGCATCTGGTATTCCTAACCAATAACTCCTCCAGATACTGACCAAGTTCAATGTTGTTTAAATTCAGTGAACAAACAGGAAATGGTGTTTCATTTTCTGGCTTTAAATAACCTGCAATGGGTTGATAAGAAAATGAATGAATCAATTAAACATTGTGATAATGTGGCTGTATTAGCATATGATATCTCTTCCAGGGAGCACATTTTCTTTATTAAGATTTCTTGAATACATAGATATAGTTTGAAATAAAAATGGGGCCATCAATTTGAAATATAAGAATTTACCACATCTGAAGTAATAAAAATATTGGATTAAAAATAAAAACCATAATTCTTTAAAAATTGCTTTATTTATATTTTGGTTACAAACCTGTACAGATATTGTACTTTCAAGAAAAATATCTTGGTGAGGAAGTTAATTTAAAAGGGAAAAATCGAGCCTTGTGGAACTGTGATGTTCTTTATAGCCAAGTGGTAAAGCATGACAGATCAAATGGTGGTTTCTCCTACAATGGAGGTGTATAGGTTTGATCTCTGCCTAAGTGAGCTTATTTTCTTTATTAAAATTTCTTGAATACACAGGCCAAAACATATAATACACACTGTTTAAAGTAGGAATAAAAATGGGAAGTTTTTTTCAAATACAAATATGCAATATAATAACGTTTGAAGTAATCAAATTGTGTGTGTGTTTGCTTGTATGTGCATGTGTGTAAATATATATGTGTGTATGTGTATGTGTATATATATATATATATATATATATATATATATATATTAGGCATATATATTTTATATATAAAGAAATAATCATACATAGAATCAATCAGCAATATTAATGCGATTAATGGCGAAATCACTTCGCTAGTAGAACATAATGTATGCATTAAAATACTGTTAATCCATTGAATGATGTGATCCTCATTTATAAAACTCTTGTCAGATGTTTCTAGTGTATATTTTTTTAAATTAAGCAAGTACTTTCGAAGACCATGTCTCCATCCTCAGGCTGTAATTTTTTCCTTTAAAGTTAAAACTTGAAGACAAAATAATTGTTTGTAGATGTCTTTTAAGAATGTGCTATTTATTGACGGTTGTACAATATCGGAACGTGCGAGTCACAACACTAAAGTTCAGAATTTCAAGTGAGAATTTTTATATGAATTTTGTAATATGTTAAATCCACAAATTCTTTTTTTTACAAGTATTTTTCAGTTAACATGACATGAACTAAGTATATAGTTCAATTAATATAGTGATATGTCTTAAAAGTTTTTTCTCAGGAATTTCATACTGCGGGATCAATTGTTTTTTTTATAAACATGTACTATTAGGCAGCATATATTTTATATATAAAGAAATAATCATACATAGAATCAATCAGCAATATTAATGTGATTAATGGCGAAGTCACTTCACTAGTAGAACATAATGTATGCATTAAAATACTGTTAATCCGTTGCATACATTATGTTCTAGCGAAGTGATTTTGCCATTAATCGCATTAATATTGCTGACTGATTCTATGTATGATTATTTCTTCATATATATATATATATATATATATATATATATATATGTGTGTGTGTGAGTCCATATATGTGTATATGTCTACATGTGTGAAGGTTTATATGTGTGATAGTGTCTACGTGTGTGTGTATATGTATATGTCTCATAGTGTGCATATGTGTACATATTTTATATATGTGTATGTATGTGTTATAGTGTGCAGATATATATATATATATATATATATATATATACACACACACACACACACACAGAGTTGTGAACATAATTATAAATAAAGCTGTAATACCTCAAATATTCATGTTCATTTTTTCCCAAATGATGAAATAGGAGAATTTAAAAGAATGTGCAGTGATGCCTAAAACAAAATATTTTAATGTCAAACAATAATACAATGAAAAACACCAAAAAACATTTAACCTAGGACAAAATTATTAGCCCTCTTGACTCAATAATCATTTGTGTAACCTTTATTCTTGATTATTGCCTTTAATCATTTTTGAGAGTTCCTTCCAAAATCACTACACAATTATTTTGCTTCATTCTCTCTTGGCAATAGCTTCTAGTTCCTCAAAATTTGAAGGACTTCTTTTTTTTTTTTTTTTTTTTTTTTTTTTCAATATACCCATAAATTTTCAATTTAGGTCAGGACTTTGCACAGGGTATGCCAATATCTTAATTTTACTGTCATCTAAGTATTTTGTAACAATTCATGCTGTGCGTTTCAGGTCATTGTCATGGAACGTCCAGTGACGCCCCAAAGACAGCTTTTTGTGCACTTTGTTTTATGTTATTTTTAAGAATAGCCAAATACTTTATGCATGATACCATGTACTCTTACAAGTTCTCCTGGTTCAGAAGCAGCAAAACATCCCCAGAGCAGAATACTCCCACCACCATGCTTAATAGTAGGGATGTTATTTTTTGGTTTGTGAGTTTCATTCATTTTCCTTCAATATTTACTCTCATGTTCTAGATGACTTCTAGCATAAGTTAATCTGCATTTTAGGTGTTTAGTCTTAAGCAAGGGAGTTTTACTTGCACAACAAGCTCAAAGTCCTGCTTGATAAAAGCATCTTATGACTGTCATTGTCAATACATTCAACTCTGATGTCTTTATTTCATTGACAATGTCCTTTGTCATTAAGTGAGGATTCTTTGAGACATCTCTTCATTCTCTCAGAAATTAACCATTTTTTGCCAGTCCTTAATATATTCTCAACACAATGTGTCTTGTACTTCTTTGATAATGCTTGGAATTGTCAATCTAGGAACAAGTTCAGCCATCTCCATTCATGGCTGCAGAAGGAATGAGTTATCACAGTACATGGCACTCACATAGTGTCTTTTTTTATTACCTCTTAGAATATTATAGAATCATGTCAATCCTATTTCATTTTCAAAGGCTGGTTGTATTAAATGTTAAATTAAAAAAAAAAAAACATTACAATTGACTTCGAGCAATATTATTTCAGAATTTCCAGGTGGAGGGGGAAATAATTTTGGCTGAGAACTTTTCAGCACCTCCTCGTACATGAATGCCCATTACACATACACAGAGACTTAGTGATCCTTACTTCATAATGATTCTAATGCACAAATGTTTTATTGCTGGCAATTTGGACAAATGTCAAGGAAAATTGGTCAAAGGCTTCCTTAAGGAAAATATTAAAAGCATTTGATTTCAGAAGGAAAGAAAAAAGTTGATGAATTTTCTGCAGTAAGAGTGAATCTTGAATCTATTTTATTACAATCTATTATTATAATTGTTCTACTTTATTATAAGTTATTGTGTCTAATACCTTAGAGGAATGTTATCATTTCCTTCATTGTACCAACTCAATAGCCAAGGTAGAGCTTTTCATCCCAAAGCCATAAATGTCAAAAATTTGGACATCTACAAAATAGTTGTTCTAGAACACCAGTCTGCAGAAGATGTGGGGAGCCCGAGACTGATCATAAGTCATCTTGTGTGAGGCCTCCTTCATGTCCAAACTGTAATGGAAAGCACACAGCAGACTCCAAAGAGTGTAATATTTGGTAAAAAGAAGTAATTAGAAAGAAATACACACACATCTCTTTTTCAAAAAGCCAGGAAAGAAAGAAGCCAGGTAGAATCGAATTCACTGCAAGTGTCCTATGCTAATATTACAAAAATAACCAAGCAACAAATAGACATCCCAGAAAACAATATATTAAGAAACCAAGATCTGATAACTGTTATTAATGAACTAAAGAGTTTAATGGAACTTCTAATCTAGAAATGTAAAACGAACCCTATACCATTAACTGCAAACAAAAATGGCTCTACATCTACAAAACTATTAAACCTGAAAAATCCAAACAAAAAAAAAAAAAAATCCTAGAAATAGAAACATTGAAACATTCTCAAGAGAATGAAAAGATAAAAAAAAATAAAGAAATGGTTATTGAAGAACCAAGGAAAATGGATATAGAGGAACAAATCTTTAGCCCATCACAAACAAGGGAACGGTCATCATCTAGACAAAGTTCATTAAAAAAACTGAATGGTAAAACTAAGGAAGCAAAATCAAACAAAAAAAGTAGAAACAAAAGAAGTTCAAAGAACAAAACATAACGAGAAACAAAACGCTAATAATCTGAAGGATATAGAAATGATGGACACTTCACCTATATAAAAAAAAATTGGACATGTAAAAATTTATAATTAAATACTAATCTAAGTAACATCATAAATTTCATTAAAGAAATTAAGATTTACAGAAAAATTAAAAAAAAAAAAGTTCACTAACTTCATTTACTTACTTTGACTAGTAAACTAATTTGGAAGGAAAAAGTATCTCCAACTATACATTTTTGGAGAAAGTGATTATAAATAATACATTTAGCGCTTTATAAGACATACCAATGAAAACTGATCTATAAAGTGATTTCTTGTAAGGAGGACATACTTTCTTCATACAAACCTATCAGGAAAAACTAGTAGGCATTCAATAACCTTTCAAGGCTGATATGCCGTTAAACCTAAATAAACCAAACCAAACCAATCCTTCATTGTACCAAGACCTTATGAATTTAAGCACAGTACTATATTGGCAGCAAGGTTTCATCAATTTAAGTTTGAAATGGCTAGATGTAACCATAAATTTTGTTCTAACAGTTTCTTCTCTCGCACTTCTCACTCATGGAACTCTCTTTCAGTGGAGTGTTTCTTTGTTAACTTTGATCTTCAAATATTGAAATCCAATGTCTATTTGTTATCTTTGGTCTTAATTCTTGTTCTTTTATTGTCTTCTTAATAGTATATTTTTTTATATTCTTTAACACTCAGTAAGCACTTGCATCTTAGTGACTTTATTGCCTTGCTTGAAGTGAAATGATTAAAAAAAAAAATGTTATAAGATCTACGGTAGGAATGAATCTTTTACCCGTCACATAACTTTTATTAGTCTATTGTTATAATTGTTCTATTTTATTATTAGTTATTGTTGTTGATGTCTTATTGTGCTTAAGATTGGGCCTAATAAGATTACAGTATATTGTTAGAATGGTTTATTGTATCTTCTGTCCGTCATGTAAAATGAATTTTTTATTACAGTCTATTGATATAATTGTTCTATTTTATTATTAGTTATTGTTGTTGATCTTTTATTGTTTAATAAGATCTATGGTAGAACGTCTTCTGTCCGTGGGAATTTTTTTTTACAGTCATTGATATAATTGTTCTATTTTATTAGTACATTTGGTAATGATCATCATGGAATTGGTTTTTCATCAGATGTGAGCAGAAACCCATTTTTTCATCATGGTAAGCTTTTTTCTGGTGGTTGGTTGTGCTGTGCACTTATCATCTTGAACTGACATTTGACAGACCTAGAAAAGTATGTGGCACTCAAAATCCTGTATTTGACAGAAAGAATACTTTCCAAAATTCTTACAGAGTATTTCAGGGGTCTCAGTTGCCGATTGGCACAGCAGCCCACAAAAGTTGATGCAGGGACATTGCTAGAATTTGTGAATAATAGCAAATTTTGTGATGCCTTTTCAACCTAATGTGACAAAACCCCGCAAGCAAATTGGACATGAGTCAAAGAAACAAAATCTGTTGGCAGACTGATCCAGCTGGCTGGGTGGCTGGGTACAAATGAATATAAATTTCATTTTGTGTGCATTTCTTCTGAAAGGTACAATGAAAGTACTTAAAGTATTCCACTGGATTTTGATATATTTAAATGTATGCACAAGAATAACTGACTTAGGAAAATACACTCATCAGAGCGCATAAAATATTCATGTCATCTTTTGTTCAGATTATCTTCCTTCAATGCAGGAATTTATCATAATAATTGTAATAATAATAATAAACATCATCTTCATCTGTTTTATTTTATTGACATCCTTCCTTGACTTCCTTGTTTGCATAAGAATAATCATATCCTAGACATATTTGTCTCGCAGATAAAGAAACTAGTGTATCTACTAAGCATAGTTTGGTACAAACCTACAATTTTGAGTTTTGTAATGTCAACAAATACTCATCACTTTCATAATGCTCATTTGAGTAGAGACTTTGTAATCATAGATACAACCTGTAGTACACTGTTGAACAATGCTGGTGTCAGATGCCTTCAGATAACACTTGCACTAATAGTACTTACTCGATAATACTTGCTCAAATGTTAACCAATGAATAGTGATCCAAATAGTAATCTGTATAGTGATCAGAATAGAGAAATAGTATAGTGAATAGTACAGAGAATAGCGATCTGTATAGTAATAGAGGATAGAATACAAATAGTGATCAATTAGATGCCACACTAATTCCCATTTATGTGTTTCCCTTACAGTCATATGATTTACTTAATTCAAAATAGGATCGCCTTTGTTTGCTCTCTGGAGATCTATGTTCAAACTACAGTATTGGCAATGACACTTTACTCCTATATGACATTGAGGTTCTCCCTTAAGTATACAAGTAAAAGTCTGAAATACAATCCAATGCTTTATGGCTGCTCTTTTTTATACACGCATTCATGTGTGTGCCGGGTGGAGGGGACATTTCTTTTTTCATTCAATAAGAGTTATCTGTAAAATAATTACTTGTGTGTACAGCACAGTTTTCATATATGAAAATGATTGCTTTTATTTGCAGATTTTAATCAGTTTGCTGTTATGTTACTATTATGACTGATGCAACTAAAACGGAAATTGTAATTTATACTAACACAAGTTAAAAGTTCTCTTGTTCTATTTAGTAATTATATAAATTATGGGCTTAAAGAGTTGCTGAATGAAAACAAACACGTGATTTTTTTAATCTCCATCACACTGCACTATTTATAAGTATTACATCCATTGAGTATAAGTGGCCAGACAACTGCAATAGCATCATCTTTGATTTTCAGTTAGTCATTTTCCTGTTGCCGTAGTAGGATATGATAACACAAGCGCAAAATTCAACCACACTATTGTCTGATCAGAATTGCATGTAGTGGCTGTGCAAACATTTTGTTTGACGAATGAAGAGTCCCCTACATACAGTGCTAAAGGATAAATAATGCCTACTGATACCCTTTGGGAAGATGGAGTAGTGGATAGAGGAGTGGATTAAGCATGTGGCCATGTGTTCAATCTCTGGATAAGGTAGTGAAACACTGATTCAGCAGGCATGACAAGGCCAAAATAACACAATAATCATGACATCCATGTCAGACAAAAACAATAGACACCTGATGATCGCCAGAGTGTACTTGGCTGAAACATGTCTATAATAACATTTATATAATCCAAGATGAGAATAATAGTATGAAATAAAATATACTGACAATTACTCACATCAAAAAATGAAATGCGAAATTATCAAAATGCAGCATGAACCTTCCATGATGAAAAAAAAAAAATTTGAAAACATCTGATATTGAATATGAAGGCTCCAAAAATGCATTACTTCGGGATAGTGGTGTAGTGGATATAGCTGTGGATTAAACATGTGTTACTGTAATCTGGTCATGAGTTCAATCCCTAGATCAGACATTGAAACAGAGGTTAAATAGAAATAACTTGTATCACAGTGAGAAAATAACACAATCAGCAAATATCTCATGTCAGCCAAAAACAATGGATGCCTGATGAAACATGTCTATAATAACATTTATAAAAACCAAGATAAAAAGAATAGTTCAAAATAATTCAAGTAAAATATACAATTATGTTTTCACATAAATAGGAATAGTTTGTTGTTGTTGTTGTTTATATATTTTCATTAATTGAACTATTGAATGTATGTAATTTATAATTTGATTTTTACATTTTTCTTCAGCAATTCTGCTATTTGATACATCACAATTAGATCTGGAAAAACTGAAAACGCTTTATGATTTGGTAAGTTCCTTTCAACAATGTTTTGAACCAGTTGATTGATTTCACCAAAAAAAGTTTGTAGCATTATATTTCATAAATATACAGCATAATACGCATTCATTAAGCATTATTTATCAACAAGGTGGTGTAAACTTGGATGTGTGGGTGGTGTAATGGATAATGGCTTGGAATTGTTTCTAGGAGAGTGGAGTTTCAATTCCAGTTCGGTTTGCTATATTCGCTTATGCGAATATAGCAAACCTTACCCTTGAGAAAGTAATGGGTTAAATTATTATCTCACCCTCCAATTATTATCTAAAAATATTTTCTGACTTTAAATAACCTGCAAAGAGTTGATAAGCCATAAAAAAACTAATCAATTATTTATCAGATGTTATTATTTAGCAATATGCATGAATTCATCCAAAATAATTCAAGTTCTAGCAATAATAATATTGTGTAATATTATATGATACAATATAATTGTATATATTAATCATAGCAAACTCTTTCTTCAATCCATGTAGGTAGATTTTTCTCGGCTATTCCTATCTATTCAATAAAAGGTATCTTTCAAAGTTCCTAGAAGGTTACTGTGACAGGAATTTGAATTTTAAGGCCAGAGTGTACACTTTTTTTTTTTAATTTTTTTTTAAACTAATGTTCATCCGGTACAAGGCCCAAGAGCCACTCAAGGTCGAGGGTTATTATGTGATGTGATTTAATAGAATAACCAGTCACTCCCATAAAAGTTTACACTATAGGTAGTAAGTACCTATAAAGTCAACTGTCAACAAGAGACTTGTGGAAGAGTGAGAGGGAGAAGGCACAAGCACGTCCGACCTTCCAGTTAGTGGCACTCACTACTAGATTGACCTGTGTCTACCGTATTTCATATTGTACTGGTTGTGTACAATAAACCTTTCTTCTTTTATCCACCTGGTGTTAAGTATTTATTCCCTTAGCACAGAATATAACCTGATGAGTGTAAGAAAAGGCAAGAAGTGAAGTTTATGAAGTGATGAAGGAAATATAATGGTTAACTCTAGACTTGAGTAAGTGAAGATTGTAGTGATTGGAAAAAACATCCTGCTGAGTGTCTGTTCCACAAAGCAGCAATTATTGGGAAGAAGCTGTCTGAAGAACTTCTTATTAATGATTCCTCCTTGTATACATAGCATAGTGGATCCCAGCCGCAAAGGTCAGGGCTGGTTGAACCATGGAATGTAGCTCATCAGAACAATTGCCATGGAAATAGCAATAGACTAGTGACATGTTTCATCTGTAAGAAAGGGCTTGTAAGATGGAAAATAATTCATCACCCACAAGGCTGTGTAAACACTTTTTGAACTCTGTCAGGCAAGCTAGGATATGGCAGCATTTTTGGTCTGATCTGATATTTGTAAATATCGTGATGCGTTTTTGGAGCCTTCATATTCAATATCAGATGTTTTCAAAATTTTTTTTTTTTTTTTATCATAGTCAGATACTTACTGTATCAGTATGATGAATCAATCATTTTGCCAGCCTCTTTAACCATAACTTGTATATATGAGTTTCACAAGGTCTGGTATGTGCTCCAGGTCCAATAGATGTTCTAGGCAAGGAGCCGCCTTCAGAGAACACCAGTTCATCATGATAGGTGAAAGTTCAGCACCTGCTCGGTGATGGCAGAATGATTCTAACTTGGTTTTCGACTTGTTGAATTTTACAAGCCAATCCTTCCCTGATTGAGCCACCAGGAATTGAGTCAGAAGAAAGATCAGTTGCTAGATTCTGGTTATAAAAACATTGTAAAAACCAAGATGTGGACTCTAGTTAGAGTATAAAAATATATAAATATCTAATTTCTGTGAATTTTCATCATCTTAGGCTAGTATTCTGTTTCTTTAACTGTTTCTTTGCATTTTATTTAGAAAGCAGAACCAGCTGAATTAAAGAAAATCCGTGATCACTTGGAGAAAAAACCTGACATATCTCTGGACAAACCAGAACAGTAAGTGACAAAGTTATTATATCTACCAGATTTGAAATACATACACATCTTCCGCCCTGTCAGCTGGGACTGCAGAGGAAGTAAGACCTCCCCCAATGGGGCGTCCCGAGTATGACGATAAACTACATCCGCATCCAGGGTAAGACAATAAACTAGATCCAACAGCAAGATAAGGAGGTTTTGAGGAGCGTGAAACCACCTCTTAATTGGTGGTGTTCCCAGGTCCATCCTGACCCGGGGTGGTAGCACCTGTTAGGGTCCCAGCTATGGTATAGGTTTTAATACCAGAAATACTTTGAAAAAAATTATTACCAGAAATTAATTTTTGAAAAAAAAAAAAAAAAATATTACCAGCAATACGTTTTTTGAAAAAAAGAAAAATAATATTACCAGTAATACATGTGATTGTACTGAAAAATATAAGTAATAAAAAATGGTTCAAATATATATGTATACATACATACCTTTTTTACCTAACTATTGCTAGGTATCTATTTAAAAAATTTTGATGGCATTAAATAACCCACTGATGTTGATATGCCATAAAACAAAACAACCAACCAACCATAAACATCTTTGAATTTCTAGTGGACATATCTCAAACAAAATGTTTAATATGCACAAAAGGTAAATGTTATACTCTACTTCAAATTCAATCTCTTTCTGATTCACTCTACATCAAAATCTTTCAGCCAGATGCGAAGCCTAAGAGAAGCAAAAAATAAAAATGTTGATCTCTGTGCAGGGTCTCACAAAACAAATCCTCCCAAGAAAGAGAAAAATATAAAATGCAATATGAAAAGCGCTAATCATAAAAATTACTGCTAAAGCAAAAAGCATGACAGAAAATGCTGAGTCATGATCCACACTGTCTGCTTTTAAGACTGCAGCTCACAATACTGTCGGCAAGCAAGCTGTCAATGTTGCCATCAGTGACCTTGGCCAACCAACCTAATACACATCAACTCCAGCCCCTACCAACTCTCTACATCCTCCAGGTTGTTTCCTTTGCTCCCACAGAGAGAGATTCTACCTTGATTCTCTATATTGGTACTACGAAGAATTTGGTAAACATGGATAAATGTGCTTGCAATAAGATGGACAAACAAAAAAAGGACAGTTTTCCCATGACACCACTTTTTTTTTAACTACCTCCACTCTTTGCAATGTTTATTGTTTTAAAAAGCGATGATTAGAATTGGAATAAAACTTAAACACATGATGAAAGAAAATTGATACATTTTCCATCTGTAAAGAAATCTTTATTATTTACCATTTTAGAAAGTTCGAATCAATTGGCAATTAGCCAGTATTTTGTTAACTATTCCAATAAATAATGAAGAAATAGTGTAAATAAACAATCTAATAAATAAATATTGCTTATAATTTTTGTTTTCAATTCTGAAGAACAAAGACAAGGTATAAATTAACTTTCATATGTTTAGGTTTTATTCCAATTTTAATCATCGCTTTTTAAAACAAACACTGCTGAAGAAGAGTAAAAGCAGTTAAAAAAGTTGTTTTGTAGAAAAAAGACTGTCCTTTTGACACTCTGTCTTATTGTGGGCATGTTTATCCATGTTTGCCAAGAATTTTATCTTAACAATTTTTGTACTTCTTTTCTTTTTTTATCCTGCAGACATATTTGTCTCTAACATAAACAATTCGACTAGCAAAACTTGAATTATTACTTTATTATCTATGAAAGATGAAATTTATTAATTAAGGTGGTTAAAAAAAAATGTTTCTACCTTCAGTCAGTTTATAAGATTTTTTTTTTAATTGCAGTTCCATTTGTTGATTTCAAAAAAGTTATTTTCCTGTTTGCTTTTACTCATATATATTTCTTATTACTTTTATTTAATTTTGTTGAAAAAATACAAATATGATGATGATGATGATTTTTATTTCTTATGATTTTATCTTTGTTATTGATCATCTTCAGGGTATTAAATGTAATCCTCCTCTTTAAGTGCCAGCTCTCTTCAGGATATTGGTGATCATGCTTCTCCACATCTTCTTTTCTAGTCTGTAAATTGTTCTTGGGAATGATAGTGGAACGGGTTCCAGTTGCCTTCTTCATTGGTTTTGTATTCTTCTCTAAGGTCATTTGTCAGTCAAGTCTACAGAGTCTAGTCTACTCTGCTATTTTACCCATAGCTTGATTGGGGAGAGAAGAGATGTTTTCCCATAGGGATTGCTACAAAGTGAACGCAAACTTTCAGCTGGAGTTTGAACTTGGCTGGTTGGTTTTGGTTTTTTGCTGTTAACTGTTAAATCACTTTCAAATTCTGAATTTAAAGACACTGTTTTGAAATACATTCCCACCTTTTTTTATTTAAGTAGTTCTTGTTATCAATTAGAGAAAAAAAACTTTTGGTGTTGGTTGATTTAAAAAATTACATTGAGTGATTAAAGAAAAGGTAAAAGAAAGAACAACAGCAAACAAAAAACAACAAAGTTTATGATAAAAGTGATAATATAAATTAGAATTGGACATGAATTAATTCACAGTAGGGTGAAATACAATGTTTACAAGTAAATCGATAAAAGTCAGCAGATGATAATACAATAGAAAGATTAAAAAAAAAAAATTTTAAATGGATTTTTTTTTTTTATCCACTATTTTTTTTTTATTATTAAAATTGTTATTTTTAGTATGCACACGTTTGAGTCGAGTTCCCTGTTTTTTTAAAAAGTGAAATTAATGTCAACCAGCTTCGAAATGAGAAATCCTTACTAATGAAAAATATACCCCTTCGAAAAGTGTTTGAGTTGATATCTGTGATGCAAAAAATGAATAAACTTTTCATTCCTGTTGTGAGGCATATTTTTCATTAGTCAAGACTTTTTATTTTCAGAACTATTTACACTTGGACTATTAGCTACGGCAGAGAATATATAAGGTGAAACAAGCTGTCTCCCTAAAAGTAAAGCTGGGAGAACATTGAAAAGCAGTAGTGAGAGGTGAAACAATGAAATTGGGCATGGCTGATTATGTATGGTAGAGAAAGGGGTGGTCATCAGCTGCTATGGAAGGAAGTGAAAATACTGGATAGGTAAAAACACTGGAGAGTTAGATGTCTGAAAGAATCAGTGCATATGCTAGGCTATAAAGTAGTACGCCTAGTAGTGAAATAAATACAATATGCGAGCCATTATTAAAGAAAAAAAAAAGACGGGTAACAGCAAGTCCTCAACCATAGCAGCAGCAGTAATCAAAATATGACATCCAGCAGCAAGTGGCAGTGGCAGCCTAATCAGCAGTGAAGGTTATGTTTAAAGCTGTAAGTTTACTGCAGTAACAGGTGGGAAAACATTGGTCTGTGAATTTGGTGGCATTGTGGGTGAGAGTTCAGTCCCTGGTTTGGTTTGTTTTATGGCATGTCATCTGCAATGGGTTATTTAATGCCGACAACTTTTTTTTTTTTTTTCCTGGTAATATTTTGCTTTGTCAAAAATCTACCTCTGGTAATATTTTTTTCCTCAAAAACGTATAGCTGGTAATACTTTCAAAAACGTATTGCTGGTAATTTTTTTTTTTTTCAAAAACATATTGCTGGTAATAATTTTTTACAAAGTATTTCCGGTATTAAAACCCACCTCTACACTTTTATTATGCTTTTTACCTCAGTTTCGGGTTTATTTGCCTATAGCTGGGACCCTAACAGGTGCTACCATCCCAGGTCAGGGTGGACCTGGGAACACCAGCAATTAAGAGGTGGTTCCACGCTCCTCAAAACCTCCTGATCAGAGGCCTTGCTGTTGGACGTAGTTTATCATCTTACCCTGGACACAGATATAGTTTATTGTCATACCCAGGACATGTCAGTCCCTGGGTTGGGCAGTGAAAATAGGCAAGCAATAACTGAACAGTACTGAATAAAATAAGAATTAGACAATATCCCTAGACATGAGCAGTGGGATAAAGCAGTAGAATAAGAACAGCCTATCCCCCATTTCATTTCAGAATTCCCTGCAGGTTACTCTGATCGATATACACATGAGGATGGCCTTATGGCACAATGGCCAAAATGTTGTGATAAAAACAATAAAGATGAGGACAATGGTCCAAATATAAATATTATAAATAATGATAACACATCCCAGAAATTCAAACAAAAATTAATTTCACTGTTGAAAATAACAAACCTCAAGTCAAGCATGTTTATCCACTAAAAATAACTTATAATAATAAGAAATAATGCCCCATGGTATACTTGGTAGGGCACACTTTGACTAAAGGAATGGTTTCGCTGATAGAAAACAGGAATGCAGGTTTGATTCTTGTTGGGAAGTATATTTTTTGTTAGTAAGGACTTAAGAAAAAGAGTACTGAACTGTTACGCAATATTAAACCTCCTATATGGCAGTGAATGCTGGACAGTTTCCTGCTCAATCTGTTTCAGTCTCCAATATGGTGACTTGAGGCAGCAGAAATATTGTACTACAGGAAGATGCTGAGAATACTATGGATCAAACATATGAGCAACATCAAAGTTTTAGAGAAAATGGAAACAAAAAGGTCACTTATACTTAGAATCAGAAAGAAAGAGTTGAAATTTCTCAGGTACATAATGAGGAAAAGGGGCTTGGAAAATTTGATACTCACAGGACAAATTGAAGGCAGGAGGGACAGAGAAATATAACACATAACTTACCTAGCAAGCTTGAGTAAATGGATGGCAGAACAAGAGATAACAAAAAAAACAAAATTTATTTAGAGCTGCAAAGACTAGGAAATTTTGGAGAATCTGATCACCCACGTTCTGAAGGGGCAAGACATATTGAAGAAGGACGATTTTTAGGCTATTTGACATTAATTTCACTGCTCGAAATAATAATGATGTCAGCAGAAACACATGTAGCCACTAAAAATAATGTTTAAATTTCTAGAACAAAATGGAATTTATTTTTTAATTTCATCATAAGGCATTTTGTATTAGGAATGTAATGTTAACTCTGTGGGGTCACTCACATCTTAGCAGCAGAAATAGCCGAATGTTCACAGGAATAAAAACATACACAGAAATAACAATAAACGCATGTTGAATTTTACATTAAAATCATACAATTTATTTTTGTGTACTGATGTGTATGTACTTTTGGTTACAAGTGTTTTAGGGTTGTATGTGATAAAAGGAAGAAGTCACTTCATATTATAACAAGCAATGTACTGAAGAGAGGAGCTGGACATCTTGATTTTCCAACAGTTAGTAAAGAGTGTCCTTTGGCATGAAGTCCGTTTATCAGCAGGAAAATTTTCTGTTGCATGCTGGGAGAACTTTTTTTTTTTACCTTTTAAACAAAATTATTTTAATGGTATTTGGTTCATTTTATTTTATATATGATATTCATTATTATTATTTTATATTTTTATTTATTAATAATATCCCTACAATTCTGCAAAAGACCAGAACCTCATGAAGAAGGCATCAAGTTGTTTATATATAGCATAAGAATGTAAAATCTGAAAAGGATATAAAATTACATAATTATAGTTTTACTGTTTTTAACCTCTGACACATAGAGGAATGTTTTTGACAAGCAGCAAGTTAGAAATGAACTGTGAAACGAAAGGCCAGAAAAATATCAACGCACATTTCACATTTTTTATCAGTAAGAGCATAGATTTTTTTCTGTACCAGAGTTGTCTCTCTTGCACTGGTAATTTGTATCTAGTTATCTCCCTTAAAACATAATTACAATCTATAGTCGTGTATAAGCCTACTTCTTATATAGTGTAACCCCTGAATTTAGTTTTGTGAAAAACCTGACCCCAGCTTCTGAGCAACACTAGTAAGTCTACCGTAGTCAAATATTGCAGTATTGGGCATCATTCTCGACATATTTTTTAGCAAATAAATAGTCTTTTTTGTACAAAGCTATGCCAAAATGGTGAGAAAAACCATTTACTGTAAAATATCTGATATGAAGATTTAGGTACCATACACGTCTGACTAGGGTTGCTCCTTTACACTGGGTCTGCCTCCTATGTAGCCTAAGTTTATTCTCCTTTACCGCTACATGAAGAGCAAAAACTCTTACACTATGTATGCCGCTTAAAATCAACAAATACCTTTCTTTCTGCTTCCAATCAGTATGGTTGATAGTAACCGCCAGGAGAGTGATTCATTATGTCTTCTTGGTTTAACATTCTCGACATGACATGAAGTCAAAAAATTTCATATTAAATTAATTGCTAGGTCTTCTGCTAAGAAAGTCAGTTCACTGTGTTGGGCAAGACAATTTTTCTCTCCAGAATCTATCTTAAATATTTATAAGTTAATCATTCACCCATGTATTGAATATTTCTGCCACATCTAGTCTAGTGCTTCTGCTATATATTTAGAGATCCTTGATAAAATCAAAAGAGTCAGCAATATTATTGGCCCTGACCTGGCATCTAGCTTTCAGTCACTTTCTTATCATTGTAACATAGCTTCCCTGTGAATTTTCTATAAATATTTTCATAGTAATTGTTCTGATGACATTTCCTAAATGGTACCTAGACTTTATGAATTTAAGCACAGTACTAGATTTGCAAGAAGGTCTCACCAATTTATAGTTGAATTCTAACAGTTTCTTCTCTCACACTTCTCACTTGTGGAACTTTCTTCTGTCTTCTTGCTTGCCAGCCAACTTTGATCTTCAAAAATATAAATACAATGTCAATCAATTATCTTCTGCTTTCTTGATTTCTCTTCTTTTGTATTTTCTCTTTTTTTCTTATTCTTTCACACTCAGTAACCTCTTGTGCCTTAGTGGCTTTACTGTCATTGTTGGGAAATGATTTAAAAAAAAAAAGAGATTTCTCAAGTCACGTCTTAGTTTCTAGTATTGATGAGGTTTTCTTCCTTGCCTTTTGTTTAGAGTAGCATGGAAAGTTAACATTTTGATTATGCCATTATTTTCTCTTTCTTTTGTTTTGATATTTAAAAAAAGTTTCTCTATTCTTTCTTTATTTAAAAAAAAAAAAAAATGTCACTATTGTTTCTTTTTCTACTATCTACATCGTTCGAACTGTTGTCCTATTGAGTTTTTGCTTCTGCTATATATTTAAAGATTTGATAAAATCCCCCAAAACATGGGGGAAGATTGTTGTAATTCTATGTGCCATGCCTCCCACCCCCGCTTTTTTTTTTTTTTTTTTTAGATATCTCAGTTTCAGTTAATTCCCTTTTAGTAAGTTTTTGCTTCCTCTTCTTTAGCCAGGTATTGAACTCAGAACTCTTTGTGTCAAGTCACTTTTTGGCTTACTCAACCAACACTTTTAGCCACTTGGCTATGTGTCCTTGTGGGAATCAAATGAATGAATTTTTACGACATATAAACCTAATGTCTCAGTTACCTTTTTTTTTGCAAGAGCTCATATTATAATTTCTGTTATTGTTTTTCTCTAGCTCTCTCTATTACTGGTTCCTATATTCATTTCTATGCTTGACCAGCTTAGAAGGTTTTTGTGTCCTACCATTTGTGCTGATTCCTTAAGTTTTCATGTTTCTATTATTTCAACTTCATCCTACAGAAGGCAGTGATCTCCCTTTTCCCTCCATATATGGTCAGACATGTCTGATTTTTTTTTTTTATTCCTCTCCACCTTGTGTTACGACTTTACACTGTTCTTGCAGTCTTATCATAAGGGGGCTGGCAGTTTTTCCTTTATATTTCTTGCTACAGCTGCATGGGAATATGGCAATAAAGATGAGGACAACAGTCTGAAAAATGTGAATAGTGTAAATAGTGACAATACCCTGTCTCAGGAATATAGACATATTGTTTCTTTATTTAAACATGTTACTCTATTGCTTCTTTATTTAAAAAAAAATCTCCATATAAAAGCTAGTATCCATTGCTTTGTGATACAAAACTTTTTACATTATATTTTTGTTAATGTCAAAGTGTGTAGACTAGTTAGTTACCTAGCAGAAACATTGAGCCATGATTAGACATTTCCATTAAAATTTCATGGTACTCCACAACTTTTCCTTTTTTTTGTAGTTCTAAGCAACTTTCATCTCTTCACCGTTCCTTTTTTATCACTGCACTATTATCATTTTAATTTTCTTATTAAAAATCTTCAGAAAGTAACCATTAAAAAAAATATCTAATTTAATGAAAATTATCGGGATTTTTAAAAAAGTTTCCATTTTTAATATAAGATATGATGAAAAATGCATTTATGTCTGTTATCTGTCAGCTCAATTCTGAGATCAAGTGGATATTGAATCAGCTTTTTTTTTTTCTTTTTACCTGTATGGAATGAAATTCTGCTTAAATTTACAAGCATCTCATCTAACTGAAGTTACATATCCGGAAACACTTTAATTATATCTTATATTTCAGTTCAAAATTCCAACCACCTGAAGAAGGCTGGAGCGTACAATGGCCGAATTGTTGTGATAAATATGGTGACAAAGATGAGGACAATAGTCTGAATAATGTACATAATACTTCATCTCAGAAATATAGACAGACTCTTAATTATATCTGTCTTTAAAAAAGATGCCATTTCTTTAATTGTTGTTAATTCTGACTTAATTTCCAGGTTTTTATATGACCTCAGCCAAATTCCTGACTATGATGAACGAATATTCTGCTTCATATTCCAATCAACATTTCAAGAAAGCATATCTGCAATAGAAAACAAACTAAATAACCTGAAAATGACATGTGAGGTATGTAGAATTTTCATATTTCATATTTTTCCATTCCTATCTTTCTTATAAATATTATAAAGCAAAAATAATAAAAATTTACAAATCATTTCATATATATTATATCCAGCATTCAGTTAAAATACTTCCATGGTATGTGGCTCGAATAGCCTCTGACAACTAAGTCCAAATCCAAGCCAAATGGGCATCTCATAATGAGCTTATTCTGGTAGATGGAGTTTAACAGTCCAGGAAGGCAGTCCATCTAAGAGAAGTAAAAACCCTGCTGCCATTTGTACATATCCAAAACCTGGAAAAGTCTATGGAAGTAAATCCAGACATAAAACCCTCAGTAGAGACCCCGAAGGCGGTTGGCTGTCAACAATTTTCTGGCAATTCCTGCAGCCAAGACATCCCTGAATGTAAATGCCCTGTATTCATTTGGATCTTGTCGGTACGGCCGAGAGTGGAGGTGCATGAAGTCTGGGTAGCGCATGGCCTCCATCACCCAGGCCTGCACCCTGGAGAGGTCACTCCATTTTCATGATCAACGGACTGTATTTTGACCAGACAGGGTGCTACCTTTATCTCATGCATAAACAGATGCCTACTATACAACTGAAGAATAAAATAGCCTTTGATGCAATTTGAACTTATGGTTTCTACTTTAGTCGGTTTGTCTGATATGGTGATACTAGGAGGGGGACTAGTACTAAAATTGAAAAAATTTATTACCGTGATAGTGTCTAGTAACTATTTTTTAAAGTATTGTGGCACAAGTGTTGTAAAGCATCAAAATGTTCCATGCTTTTAAATTTTGTTGTCTATCAGTCAAAATAAGGAAAATAAATTCAATGTAAACAATCGAATAAAAAGAAAACAGAGTTTTCTTTGTGAGAAGATGGAGGTGAAACTGGATGAAAAGAAAAGTGACACCATAACAAGCACCATACCATGGGAGGTACAATTGTATATTTCAGTTTCAAGAATTGTTCAGAAACAACCAGAAAATGGTGAGACACATTTACAGTGATCCGAAAGTCTTGTTACCCCTTGCCAAAATATAATGAGGACAATAAAAGTAATACAAAGCACATGTACTGAATTCAGTTTATTCACTTTCATTGATGTTGTTGCACATTGAAAAGGTCTGTATGAACACGATTTTCACTTAGGAGCTCTTGTCAGCCATCTGAAATAGAAAATTATATTATGTCGGGATGACGAGACTTTCGGACCACACTAGATTATTATTTTCATTTTTAATTTCTATTAAGCATGAATAAAATTCATGAAAGCTGCAGAGACTTTCTCATCATATCAAATAAAGAAACATTTACTTGATCAAAATCAGAAAATTTAAGTGGGTACCTGTCTGCTTAGTCAAAAAATAGATGAAACACCCTTTTGTAAGTCTATTTTAGTACTTAGGTAACTAAAATTTCTAAACCAAACTAATACCCATAACCAACCATCCATGTACCTTACTTGGTACTCACCTGAGTATGAGTTTATTTGCTTAAGGGTTTGTCCCAAGTACACCAGCTGCTTGGTTCGTCCCCATAACACATGTATTGGACAGAATATAACCTGCTAAAAATATGTGTTGTGATTCGCTAAAATAACCCCCAAATATTTTAGTACAGATGTAAGAAAATACCAAATTTCCAGACAGCGTGACTAGGTGGTATGAAATTCCTTTGAAAATACTATTTGCAATGTCTTTCATTTTTTTACCCCACCTTATTGTACCATTGACAGATGAAATTCACATTTTGCCTCCTTTTATAAATACAATTTGTTTGCACTTTGATGTCATTGCCTGAAATTTTGAAACTAAATTATACTTTATTAGTACTTTTCATTTTATTTTTGTTTGTTGTTTGTATTGTGATATTGAAGTCATTTTAAATTCTTTGACATTGAAACAATATAAATTAGATATAAAGAATCAGAATTCCTCAAATTATTATTATTATTGTTGTGAATATGGATTATCTCCTCTTAGATAATCCAAGTTATAAAAGCTGTATACTTCCGCTGTCAAGTCAGATGAGTAGTAGTATTCTTAATTGAATAAATGATTACTAGACAGAATCTCTTGTTCTGTTTTCATTACAATTATTATCATTGATCTTTGTCTAGTTTCTTTCATCTTATTAATGTTGCTTTTTATCCCAACTCTCAGGTCATTTTTACATTCTATGACTGTTAAGTAAGCAGCTTGGCTTAGAAATGAAGAAGTCAACTCCAAATGGCATAAACTCATTAAAAATAATAATGATTCAACCATGAAATTCAGTCATCATAAGATTATTTCATCTACTAATTTGTGAAAACAATATGGCATGGGAAAAATTGGATAAGTGAAAAAAAAAATAGTTATATGACTAAATTTGAATCTGATGGGTCACTGGAGTTTGTGAGATTACCCCACTTGTCTGCCAAAGAACATCTGCTAGCAACAACTAGATGGTGTTGCCTGAAAGCAGTATTAAATAAAAATACATAAAGTTTTTCTCTCTGTTTCTCTCTTCTTTCACCTTTAGCTGTAGCATGCCTTAATAATGACATTTCCCCTCTAAGAAGGGTCATCAGCAAACTTAATGTCACCTGGAATACAGCACAGCTTAGTACATATTAAACAAATGCCCTAAGTTTACTTGACTCTACACAGGCGTATCTTATAATTCTGCCAAAACCATAAATAGAAAACTTTTCTCAAATGTAAGTTTTCTTCAATAGGACTTTATACACACGTGCATGAATAAGGACATCTCTAGACAAACACACACTCCTTTTGTATATTTTCTATTTAGGTTGCTAAGGCAATAAAAATATTATTGTGTAATATTTTTGTCCTTTCATTCCTATCTACTGTTTGTGAAAACTCCCTTGAACATCCATATTACTCCATGGTGGCAAATCATTTCCATTTCCTTTGTATTCCTTTGGTAAAGAGAAAGTTCCACTCATGAGTTTCTTTCTCAGAATGTTGCTTTGTGGAACAAACTCCCAAGATGATGCTTCTCCAACCACACTACAATCTTAACCTCTTCAAATCTAGGATCAACTGTTTTCTATCCTACAAATCCTCATAATATGCACTTATTTCCTCCTCTTATATCCATGCAACAACATTAGTGAGTGACTCTCTACCTGGAGTGGCCCTTGGGCCTTGTATTGGATGAACTAAAGTTAAAAAAGAAAAAGGAATGCAAAACTCCAATCCATGTGATAAAACATGCAACTTAGTTGATGATAATTAATAATTAGAAAGATTGCGTAAACATTTATTACTCCTATGCCTCCCCCCACGCCCAAATGTTTTATAAATAAGGAATCGCAGTTTCTTTTAGTGAATAGTTAGTGTAAGAATTAACCTTCCTACCAAATCTAAGTAATAATTCTGATACTGAATCAATATCATCATCCCTAAGCAGTGTGCCTAAGCATCGGGGCAAGCCTGCTCTATTGGAAGGAGTAAATAACTGACTGTGAGAAAAGGGAGGTTACAAAGGTTTTCTTAAAGATGAGTTGATATCTCTTTTGTAGAACAGACTCCAAAGAGGATGCTTCCCCAATTACTATGATTTTAAACTCTTTAAGTCTAGTGTCAACCATTATCTATCCTACATATTCTCATAATATGCACTTATTTCCTCCTCCTTACATCAGTCAGTGATCCTCAAGAGCCACTCAAGGTAGTGGGTTACAGACTAGATCTTGTTGTATGGATGCAATAGGAGGAAGTAAATGTATATTATGAGGATATGTAGGATAGATAAAGGTTGATTACTAGTTTCAGATATTGTGTTAAAAGCAACAGGAATCACAATATTAGTCCCAATATAGTAAAGTCATGAAGCCATAACTTTGATTTTATAAATGCCACCCACATTAAAAAAGAACATAATTCAGTGCTACTATAGTATATCTATCATCTTTTTTCTACTATATTAGGATATCTACTATTCATTTTCTACTATGGTATGATATTTACCTACTATTGGAAGTATAAAATATGTTAGGGTTAGGGGTTAGGGTTAAAAACAATGAACTGGTTATGTATTAAAAATCATTAACAATGTTTTGTACAAAAAATTTTAAAGATCATTAAATAGTGATTTTAATGTTTGTAAACTGATTTGATGTCATTTAAAAAAAAAAACAGTAAACAGGTCATCGTTTTTCATGAGCATTTTCCAGCAATAATAAGTGCATCATCATTTACAGTTGATCACAAATACCTTGGTAGATATGATGCTATAGTAGCAACCATAATTCTTTACGCAGGAAATACTTTAAGGCGGTTCTTATTTTATTATCTATAAACAGATTTTATTATATCATCTACTTTTATGAAATCCATACTTAAAGAATCTAGCATGTCTACATGCTACCACAAGCAGTGTAAATTAAATTCTTTCAACCTCGCACAAAATATCTGCAAATCAATTTTCGGGCAATGAGAAAACATGGATAAAGAAGCTTACTAAACACACACACACACACACACACACACACACACACACACACACAGAGGGTGCGATGGGTAAATTATCGCCATTTTATATATTTAATTTTTGCATATGTACATCGTTTGTTTTGATTTTGTCAACTACACAGTATAGTAGGGTCAGTTGGGCACAGTCTGTGAGAAAAAGAGCACCATGATGTAATTCACTCTGCCAGAAATTTAGAAACAGCATACTGCACTGCTTGGCATTCTTGCCGGAAGCTTCAATACACACATTTCAGAGTTTTGAGGTGTCAATCTGAGGACAGTGCAGAGGATTTTGAAAGAGTTGGATAAGTCTAATGGTGATTACAAATGTGTTTGGAGTAATCACTAGTGATGGCAATGTTATGCCTCCATTCATCTTCCCACAAAACCTCGGACTCAACATAGAGGCCTACATCAAGTGCCTTGAGGAAGTAGTGCTACCCTGGGTCAGGAGGGTGGCTTCTGGAACACTTTGTCTGGCAACAGGACTCTGCACCATGCCACACAAGCAGGAGAACCTAGTCATGGCTGTCAGACAATTTCTGCAATCACATCATCTCCTATATCTGACCACGTAACTCCCTGGATTACAACCCCCTTGATTATCATGTGTGGGGCACAGTTGAACGAGAGACAAAAAAAACCCCAAAACTTCTTAACCAATTAAAAAGAAACATGACAAAAATTAAAAATAGCAGAATTTTCTTTATTTTTCTCATTCATATTTCATTCTCTGTTGAACATTTAATAAAAGTGAAACATTTTACATTTATTAGTGTTTACCATTTTTTTCCTTGTCATATCAATAGAAAATATAAAAGACAATTTGTAAAACTTATTTTCACCTGTTTTGCTGATCAAACAGCGTCATTAGAAGAATGGATTTTATTTCAACCAAATCTCCTATATAGGCTCCTTGACATTATATAGCATTCATCAGTTTGGGGGCACCATATCTTCTTTTCACTTAACTATTGGCCTATTACCTTCTAACTGTTGGATAATAAATAGCCTTCTACTATTTTTTGGCAAACTATTAGAAGCCCTAATCAACTCTGATTTGTTTCAGTCAGTTATGTGCTACACGTGATGCACACTTAGGCAATTATGTATCTTTCAATACATGTCTGATGAGGCAGATTTTTTCCCTTGGTAGGTTTCCATTTCCTTCTATGGTAGACCAGTTGTCATCCAAGACTATAGAACCCGATCTGTCCTGCTATTTACCCATACCTGGTGGGAGAAGAGTATTCATACCTTTCCCAAGGGTATTAGCACATAACTGAATGTAATGGATTCAACTGGAATTGGTTAAGTATCTCAATTCACAGGGCCTTCTTTCAGGCAAACAATATAGCTTTTGTTTCTCTAGGTTAACTGCTGATGTATTAATAATTATTGCTAAAAGGGTCTATGGAGATTTAGATATGAAGCTTGGGCTGTTGATTTGATCATCTCAGAAGCGTTCAACTTCACAAGTTTGTAAGGTTATTTTATTTCTAGATTCATTTCTGAACTTATCCAGTCTTTCTTGTCAAATCATGAAATGAATGTTCTCCTAAATGGCCACTCCTCTAGATCTTTTTGTAATAATGCAGGTATCCCCCCCAAGGCTCTATCCTTAAACCTGCTTTGTTCTTAATTTTCATCAATGTCCTTCCTGATAGCATCAATTCTCGACTTGGTATCTATACAGATGGCACAACCATTTACTCCTGTCTCCATAGTAAGTCTGATCAGATTGATAAGGTCAAATTTACGGCTGATCTAAAAAAAAAAAAAAGATACACAGTCTGATCCTTTTAACTGTCGGCCTATTAACCTTAAATCACTTTTTTGGCAAACTATTAGAGTTCCCTAATCCACTCTTAATTGGTTAAGCATCTCACTTCGCAGAGTCTTCTTTCAGGCATGCAGTATGGCTTTTGCTTCTCTAGGTCAACTGCTAATGTATTAATAATGATTGCTGAAAGAGTCTATCATGCATTAAATAATAATGAAGAAGCTCTGGCTGTTGATTTGGGGATCTTGAAAGCAATCAGCTGGGTTTGGCATACTGGTCTTCTTCATAGGGTAAAAGGTTATTGTATTTCTAGATTCATTTCTGAACTGGTTCAGTCTTTCTTATCAAATCATGAAATGAAAGTTCTCCTAAAAGGCCACTTAGATCTTTTTGTAATAATACAGGTGTCCCCCAAGGCTCTATCATTGGACCTACTTTGTTCTTAATTTTCACCAATGTCCTTGATGGCATCAATTCTCGACTCAGTATCTATACGGATGACACAACTATTTACTCCTGTCTTGGTAATAAGTTTAACCAGTTTGATAAGGTCAAATTTGATCTCAAAAATAACCTATAATCTGTTGGTAAATGGGGCAAGGAATGGCCTGTTAATTTTAATGCTTCTGAAATGAAACTTATTTCTATTAATCATCTGAGAGACATCTTTCTGCTACCCATCAGTATGACTGATGCTGACTGCCAGGAGAGTGACTCATTGAACCTTCTTGCTCTAACATTCTTGTCTGAAATGAAGTGGAAAGATTATATTGAATCCATTACTACGTCTGCTACTAAGAAAGTGTTGCACATGACATACTTTCTCCCAAGAGTCTATATTAGATATTTATAAATCTACCATTCCTCCATACTTTGAATATTGCTGCCACATATGGTCCAATGCTCCTGCTATATATCTAGAGATTCATGATAAAATCGAAAGAAGAATCAGCAATATCATTGGTCCTGACCTGGTATCTCAGCTTCGGTCACTTTCCCTCCAGCATAAAGTTGCCTCCCTCTGCCTTTTCTATAAATACTTTCCCCCTCTTCCTTTTCTATAAATACTTTCCCCCTCTTCCTTTTCTATAAATACTTTTCCCCTTCCTTTTCTATAAATACTTTCCCCTCTTCCTTTTCTATAAATAAAAAAAATCTTCCTTTTCTATAAATATTTTCCCCAACTCCTTTTCTATAAATACTTTCCCCCTCTTCCTTTTCTATAAATACTTTCCCCCTCTTCCTTTTCTATAAATACTTTCCCCCTCTTCCTTTTCTATAAATACTTTCCCCCTCTTCCTTTTCTATAAATACTTTCCTTTCCTTTTTATAAATATTTCCCCAGAGCTTTTCTATAAATAACAAATTTCCTCTTCCTTTTCTATAAATACTTTCCCTCTTCCTTTTCTATAAATACTTTCCCTCTTCCTTTTCTATAAATACTTTCCCTCTTCCTTTTCTATAAATACTTTCCCTCTTCCTTTTCTATAAATACTTTCCCTCTTCCTTTTCTATAAATACTTTCATATTAATTGTTCAGGTGAACTCTTTGTTATGCTACCTGGACTTTGACTTTATGTGCATTATGCACAACAATTCCGAGTTGAATTAGCTTGGCTAGATGCAACAGCAAGTTCTATGCTAACAGTTTCTTCTTTTGCACTTCTTGCCTGTGGAACTCTCTTCCGGCTCCATGCTTTCCAGCCAACTTTGATCTTCCAAAATTTAAATGCAATGTCAATTGTTATCTACTGTCTTCTTGATTACTCTTCTATTATTCCCACTCCTTAATAATGTTTCCCTTTTTCTCATATTATTTCACACTCAGTAACCCCTTGTGTCTTAGTGGCATTACCACCTTGCACGAGGTGAAATAAAATATAGTCATCCACACTTAGTGGGGCTAATCATTCGATTAATTCAAGCTGGGATCGAAACCCTTAGGCTATCGGCTCACACAGTGGAGAAAAGGGAATTTTTAACACCTTATATACAAGATATAAGCATTACCAGCTAACAGAGTGTTCAATTCATAGTGAAGAGCTTTTAGCATTAATACTGCTGACAAATTTCCTTTCTTCCAAAGTTCTCAACTTACTAGGAGTGGGGGTATATAGTCATTCATATATATATATATATATATATATATATATATACACACATATATACATATTTCAACCATTTCCTATTAGTTCCTTATCCTATCATTCTTGATCACAATTCATAATCTAATATAAATTTAAGATTTCTGAGTTTTTTTTTTTTTTTTTGCTAAATGCTATCTTCAACAGCTCTTCACCTTTGTATTGAGTAAACATTTAGCAAAAAAAAAAAAAATCAGAATAACTATTTTATAAATGTGAACTAAAGTATTTTTTTATTCTATCACTGATAATCTCAACAAAAGGGGTAATATTTGCAACAAGTCAAATCTGTACCATGCATGTCAATCTAGCTTTCAAGAACTTAGGATGTGAATTCAAATCTTGTTAGAGGCAAATTCTTTATTTCTGAGCCTTGCTCCTTTTGACAATCAACCACTTTTGATTGTCAAAAGATAAAAAAACTATTATAAAAAGCAACAATGACACGATGAAAGATTAACTAGTCAGTAACAATAATGCTGCTTTATCTCGGCAAATCATACATTTGTAATGATCTAAACATTGGAAATCAGGAAGACAAGGCAATTTTTTGATGTTATTTATCTCCAAAAATTGTAAATATATATTCCTTTTAAAAAAAGTGAAGACAAACTTAAGACCTTAGAAGCATTCAATGATGATAAACACCAATTTTGAAAAAATCACACTGCATGAAACAGTCTGTTAATGGGTAAATAATAAAAATTTTTGTAACACATTACTAAAAAATTGGAAAAATCCAATAAAAAATTGAACAGAAAGACCTTGTAGGTTAATCAAACGTGTTTGGATGATATATATGTAATATTTTATTAATAATAACATTTTAATTCTTTTAATAATTATATGAATACAACTTACTGAAATATCCTTTGCTTTCTCAGGCTCTTCAGACTGGTGCCACTGTCAAACGAATTCTTTCCCTTATACTAGCTATGGGGAATTACATGAATGGAGGTAAGTTAATGGATGACTAAATATTCAAAGTCTATCAGAGAGCTCTGAAAACTACATTAACGGTAATTTCATCCAAGGGAAATAATCAAACAGAATTACCTCCCCTGATACGTAAGTCAACTATGAGTGTATTCATCGTATTTTTGTTTTTGTGTGTGTTTTCTTTTTTATGTTATTGTCGACGGAAGTGCTTGAAGCGTATGTAATGATCCCCAGACCGGAAGTATCTCCTAATTTTATACGAGAGGAGGATCCTGACCCCGGGGATTCCAGCTTTGTGGATGGACCTTTGCCATTCCACTAAGGTGGGAGTTGGCGTAATATTGATGTCAACATGATAGTGATCATGGGGACTGGGAAATTGTTGTCCTTGGATCATGTTTATGTCTGCAGGCACTTAATATAAAAGACTTTGTGTCACACCCTCCTTTTCTGGGGAGGCCAGCTTAATAAAATCTTAGCTGTATTTTAAAGTTTTGCATTGGGTTATTTCCTATCTTGCAATCACTATTGGTATTTGATGTTAATCTATTTCTAACCTTCATTTCAAGTGTCAAGTCACCCTCAGTAAATAGTTCAACTATTTGTGTACAAGTCGGCCAAATATTATTACATTTCTTTCGACTTTCGACTCTGTAAGCGTCTTTGAGGTCCGGTTTAAAAATCAGAATCTGAATATTTCATCTACCATTATAATATCTAAAACAAAAGGTACAACTCGATCATAGTAAATATGAAATAGAATCAAATCAGAATTGGAATCCGATAGAAATTTTTATTTTTGCAATTTTATAAATGCCATTCTAATTAGAAAAGAACATAATTCTTTACACAGGAAATACTTCAAGCAAGTTCTGATAAATATTTTACCATTTATAATAAAAACTCACATCAAACAGACTTTATTATATCACCAACTTTTATAAAATTCTTTTCTGAAACGGAAACTATGATCTGGAATTGGAATGAAAGCAGTGATGGCACCTGCCCTGAATCCATCAGAAAAAAGTCGAGATGTGGATTTAGTAAATATTAAGCACTTCAGATATGTTGGCGTATGGATCAGCTATAGTGAATTAAATATAGGAGAAAAAGAAACTGAACATAGACTGGGTTGTGCCAGAGGTAGTTTTACGCAACACGGCATATTGCTATAAAACCAAAGCATCAGCCTGAAAACTCAAGTGATGTTCTTAAATAACCTTGTCAGATTGAGACTTTCATATGGCAGCATCAAACCTATTCAGAAATATCTAAAGTGTCAGCTGTATACAACTGCTTCCTAAGATCATTGCTGAAAAAAGGCTTTGAATGAGCAAAGCCTGAGGAGTCTTAACAAATATTGTCTTTCTTTGAACATTGTTGACAAGCGCTACATAATCACAAATAACAGAAACCACATCGCTTGAGGACTACCAACAGCAGCAATAACTAAAATGGATAGCACATGTAAGCCAAAGAGAAAATAATGACATAATCAAGATGTTAACATTCTACACCACATCAAATAGAAGGTTCTAGAGAAAACCTCCAATAATGGTAAGAGCAATAAACAGTTACTTGACTTGAGAAGCCTGTTTTCATAAAAAAGTGTTTAAAGAGAAATATTTTATAAATTTCAACTGAAATCAGTACTGGCTGGTCAGTCAATGAATGCCAAATGTTTCTTTATAAGGAAATGGCTATTATTATGATTACCATTACCTACTACTACAACCAGTGTAACTTAAATGTTTTTCCCTGACACAGAACAACCCTAATCTATATGCAGGAAACTACCAAACATGGATAAAAATGCCAACTCAAGATACACACACACACACACACACACACTATATGCATTATGATGATGCATAAACAAACTAGAATTATGATACACATACACACATGAATTGTTCATGACTGATACTTGACAAGACTCATACATGTGAAGTCTGCATAAACAAAGAAAAACCAACAACACAAAAATTAAAAATACCAAAATTTTCTTTAAAAACGCCTTATTGACACACACATACACACAAATGTAAATTATCATCCAAATCCCACATAGACAAACTAGGATTATGATACACATATGAACAATGCTTATTTTCACCTGTTTTGCTGATCAAATAGCATCATCAGAAAAATGGATTTTATTTCAAGTGAATCTCCTATCAGAGTCTGTCTATATTTCTGAGATGTATTTATTTCTATGCTTGGTCCAAGCATAGAAATAAATACAATATGGGAACCATTAATAAGGAGTGCCAGAGAAAAGCGATAATAACAATAAAAGTTGCAATATGAGCTCTGGTAAAAAACATGCAATGATAACGGCAAAAATTGCAGTATGAGCACTGGTAAAAATGGTTGCTGAAGACATTAGGTTTATAATACCCAGAAATTCATACCCAGATGTCCTCAAGGACACATGGCACAGTGCGTTGATTAGATCTAGTGACAGGACCCAAAGAGTGTGAGTTCAATACCCGGTTAAGGTGGAGAACTTTCAGAGGGAAATTAGCAGGAGATAACTGATAACTGACATCCATCAAACAGTCTACCCCAGTGAGCGAAATAAAGGGTTCAGTTTGAAATTCCAACCACCTGAGTGTACAAATGTTATGATAAACATGAGGACAATACTCCGAATAATGTAAATAATGAATCTCCTATATAGCATTATATAGGGTTCGTCAGTTTGGGTGTGTCATATCTTCTTTTCACTTATGACATAATAGTAAATGTATGACACTTTGGAAAACTCTTATTTTGACATGAATTTCTGATCAGTTTCTGCAAAAAAAAACAATTTTATTTCAACTGAATCTACCGTGACTAGACAATGTGATCCTCCGTCATAGGTTTTTTTTCACTTTAGTGCTGTCATTTTTTTGATTAAATTTTACTAATTTCAACTTAGTTTTCATGTATGTATTATATTATTTTTTAAAGATTTTTTCATGTTTCACATTGTTTGAATGGTAGATGTAAAAAAAGCTCAGTCATATATTAATAATATTACTAATAATAGAGACATAATCTTTAGATATGTAGAGTTAAGGTCTATAAAAAGAAAATATTTTCACGTACACTATTGACCTCATCTTTGTTGTCGTTCTCATAACATTTCAGCTGTGGTGTCCTGGGGCCTTCATCAGATGTATATTGATCTGGGTAACCTACAGGTAATTCTGAACTGAGCCCTTTATTAAATCTACGAGAGTAGACAGTTCTTGTTCCAATACCTGTGTCTTAGGATTATCTCATCTAGTTATTATTTTTAGTACTGCTCAGTTAATAACCCCTCATCCCAGAAATTCAGACAGGAAATATTGTTAATAACAGCTTCATAGATAATAAGTTAGTATTGCATATTCTTTGGGCTGAGATCAAAGTGTAGTATCTGTTGTTTTCTTCTTAAATAGGAAATGCCTATTCTCAGAGATTCCAACCTTGTGGCATTTCCTCTTTCCACTAAAGCAGGAGGGTTGGTGTATACCAATATCTGTGTGGCAGTGGTCACAGGAACTGAGCAATTTTTGGTCTTAGCCCATATGTATAAATATAGGTACTCCACATTAAAAATGACCTTGTGTCACATAGTGCCACCATAGTAGGGGTGATGCCACATAATTGTGAACTTTGTATATCATTTTAGACCACATCAAATTTCCCAAATTTGGGAATGTAGAAAACATTGGTTCTCATTCATTTAACAAAGTTAAGCAATGTTGAGCCTGGTACTTACTTAGATGGAGGCCTGCTTGGGAACAAAAGGTACTATGAGCAAACCACCTACAATCTGAATTTCAGCTTTAAATAACCCACAAATAACCATTTGTGGGTTATTAGTTGTTAAGAACAAATTAGTCAGTGAGAGCATGTAATTAAAATTTCTCATAACGTTTTTTTTTTTTTTTTAAATTGTTTCCTTTGCCTTTCCTGCAGGTCACATGAAACGAGGTCAAGCTGATGGGTTCGGACTTGAAATTTTAGCCAAATTGAAAGATGTCAGAAGTAAAGTGAGTTTTTATCTGATTTTTTTTTTGTAACTGACATTACTTTTCTGTAAGGACACAAAGCTCTTCCTAGATGATTGTACCAACTGAGTTTGCAGTCATCCATATACAATCCTCTATCTGTTGTTTGTCAGTTTTAATTAGTCTTGTTGCTGGGTAGGTGCTACAGCAGTCACAATATAGTTTAAAACTCGACCTCTTGCCCACAGGCAGGATGTGCCAAGCCTCTCCTTGCTCTGCCGTTTCTTTCTTGGAAAGTGCTCAGATGAACTACATTCCCTGGTCCTGCCAAGTCAAACTTTCACAGCAAGAACCTGCCATGCCAATTACATAGTAGCAAGCTCCCACATTCCCTTTGCATTCCATCCGTGAGAAATAAGTTCCATTTGAGTAGGTTCTTTCTGCACACCACATTCTAACAGGATGTTTCTCCAATCATTACAATCATAACCTGTTCAAGTCTCTGGTTAAATGTTATCTTCCACTCCTATACACAGAAATAGTCTCCTTATATAACCCTTTATCTAGGCTTTGTAAAGGGTGAAACATACTGTAAAAACAAACAAAACAAAACACTTAATGCAGTCACAAGGTCAGGTTCAGCATGTGTCCCAAAACAGAAAATCTCAAAGAAAACTAGAAACACTGAATAACGAAATTTTTTTTTTTTTTTTTTTTTAACACTATTTACATTGTTTGGAATGCTGTCTTCATTTTTATTGTCATATTCACAACATTTTGGTTGTTGTACACTCTGGCTTTCTTCAGGTGATGCACGTTGGACACATGGCCCAGTTGATAAAAGCATTGGCTGATGTAATCCAGTGACTTGACCCAAAGAGTTGTGAGTTCAATACCTGGCCACAGCAGAGGTGAACAAAAAGTTGGAGAGTTGAGTTAGTAAAGGGAAATAACTGAAACTGAGATATCTAGAAAAAAGTATGGCATGTGAAATTAAAACAATCTACCCCAATGAACTGAATAAAGGATTCGGTTTGAAATTCCAATGTATGTCATCTGAAGAAGGCATCCAATGGCCAAAATATTGTGAATATAGCAATAAAGATAAAGACAGTGTTTGACCATGTGTTTCCAGGATGACACTGCAGGAGCTCATTGATCTGGTATAGGCGGCTTTACCACATCCACCCTATTTCCCTGATTTCTTCACCATCTGACTATCACTTTTTCAAGCATCTTGACAATAATCGTTCTGCTGCAAAGAAAATGCAGAAGTTTCATTCAATGATTTTCTTGGCATCTAAATTGGATATTGGAGTTGGTAAAGGCATAAATAACCTTGTAAGTCAGTGGCAAAAATGTGTAGATGTTCAAGGTTCCTATTTTGACTGATTTAAACAATGTTTAAATACATTAATTTAGGAATAAAACATGATTTTAAAATATGACATTATTTTCCAAACAATGTCATAATTCTTTACCCACAAATTCACACAGAAGAGTCATTCCATGTCAAATCATTCAGGGCATGTCACCTTAACTTCAATTTTTCTGAAATTTTGTCGATGTGTTGACTATGCAAAAGTAAGACAATCCCTCAAATTTGAGCTTTTAATTCCAAAAGTCCAATCAATTTTTAGTTTTCCCCAGTTTTGGGGGCGCACAAAAAATTGCGACCTTTCGTAGTTTATTTTTGTGTGTAAAATTAGTTCTATGGCTTCCCTACCCTTAAAAATTGACTCAGCAAAGCTTTTTGGCTTGAGAAATTCAAAAATGCTATAAAAAGACTCAAAATTACTCAATTTTAAGTTATTAATGATTTCTTATTTTTTCATAGCAAGATCAATAAGGGGGAGAATCCCCATGTGGTAGTGCATCTATGACAAATGTTTTTTATTAGTATTTTACATATATTGAACATTATTTGTACCAAAAAGATAGTTTGGTTATTTCTTAGTTTGCTTAGAATAGAAGCTGCAACATTAATTAAAATTTTGCACTTTTATGTTTTTTTTTATAGCATTATATATATATATATATATATATATATATATATATATATATAAATGTGAAACCCCCAACGTTTGCTTTCACTATCTTTTTTTGTATTGTATTTCTATTGTTCAAACTGTTATCATTTAGATGTGCTGTGCATCCTGGGTATAATGATAAACTACATCTGGCAGCAAGGTATTGATTGGGAGGTTTTGAGTCACCTCTTAATTGCTGTTGTTTCCATGTCTATTCTGACCCAGGGTGGTAGCACCTGTTAGGATCTCAGTTATGGGCAAAAAGTTAACTCCCAAATTGGAGTCAAAACACTATGACAGTATAAAAATGTATATTTATAGTGAAAATTCCAGCAATACATTTTTTAAAGAAAAATAATATTACCAGCAATATGTCTGACTCTCAATAATAACTGTCTTCACAAAAATATGTCAAAAAAACTTGTCGGCATTAAATAACCCATTGTGGTTGATATGCTGTAAAACAAACCAAACCTGACTGGAAGTAGTCAATAAAATCATGCTGGGAAGGTTTCATTTTTTTTTCTTATTCTATCAAGTTTCCTAAGTGAAGGAGACTACTATAAAGAAAAAAATATTAATTTTTATTACGGTAAACTGTCAAAGCATCTTGCAATTTAGTCAGTCAGTTAAGTGCCATACGTGATACATGGTTTGGACGTTCATCATCTCTTTTGATTCATGACTGACTAGGCAGAAGATTTTCCCACAGTAGGTTGCCATTTCTTTCTGTGTTACTGGTTGCCAATCAAGGCTCTAGGAGATGGATTCATACCTTTTTATAAATATCTTTTTCTCTGCAGCAAAATTATATTATTTTGATGGATATAAAATTTTCAGAGAAATAATGTTAGATATTTGTGCATGACCTTTGAATTTTTCTTCTTTTAATTGAATTCATTCCAAGCAAGGCAATAAAGCCTCTAAGACACAAAGGGCTGCTGGGTTTGAAAGAATAAGAAAACAGAAACATTATTAAGGAGAGAGGAAGACAGTAGATAATGATTGACACTGTATTTAAATTTTTGAAGATCAAAGTTAGCTGGAAAGCATGGAGCCAGAAGAGCATTCCACAAGCGAGAAGTGCGAGAAAATAAACCATTAGCATAGAGGTTATGGTTACAACTAGCCAATCCAATTGTAAATTGATGATACCTTGTTGCCAATTTAGTACTGCGCTTAGATTCATAAAGTCTAGGTACCAAAGCAGAAAGTTCATCATTTACCATGAAAGTATTTATAGAAAAGGCAAAGGAAAGCAACTATATGACAATGGGAAAGTGACTGAAGTCAAGATGCCAGGTCAGGACCAGTAATATTGCTGATTCTTCTTTGGATTTTATCAAGAATCTCTAAATATATAGCAGGAGCACTGGACTATATGTGGCAGCAATATTCAAAGTATAGATGAATGGTAGACTGGTAAATATGTAAGATAGATTCTGGAGAGAAAAATTGTCTAGCACAACACATTAAACTAACTTTCTTAGCAGCAGATCTAGCAATGGATTCAGCAGTCTTTCCCTTTACGTTAGCCAAGAATGTTAACACGAGAAGGTGTGACGAGTCACTTTCCAGAAGGTTTGTATTAGCCATCCTGATGGAAGGCAGAAAGTGGTCTCTCAACTGGTATATATATAAAGTGGTATATATATATATATATATATATATATATATATATTTATTTTTTTTGATCAGCTGCCAATTTAACCTTATTGATCTGATCAGATTTACTATGGAGACAGGAGTAAATGGTTGTGTCATCAGTATAGATACCAAGTTGATATCTGATTCCATCAGGAATGTCATTAATGAAAATTAAAAACAAAGTATGTCTGAGGATAGAGCCCTGGGGGACACCTGCATTAGTACAAAAAGATCTAAAGGAGTGGCCATTTAGGAGAACTTTCATTTTATGATTTCATAAGAACGTCAGTTTGAAAATTCGACACCATAACTTTTCAACTTGTGAAGACCGGTATGCCAGCCCCTATCGAACACTTTTGAGATGTCCAAAGCAACAACCCAGACTTCACCATTCTTATATAAAGCTTGATAGACTCTTTCTGCACTAATTGTTAATATATCAGCAGTTTACCTAGAGAAATGAAAGCCATATTGCTTGTTTGAAAGAAGCGATGTAAGATGCTTAATTTATACAGTGTTGATTAGGGCCTCTAGTAGTTTCCCAAAAAGAGGTAGAAGGCTGATAGTTGGAAGGGTCAGACAGTTCACCTGACTTTCTTAAAGACTGGAACAGATGAGGATTTCCTACAAGCAGGAAAGTAAGAGGAAGTGAGGTATTTACTATACAGTTTCGAGAGAAAAGGAGCCAGTTTGGGAGCACATTGCTTAAGGGCCATTACTGGTGTACCGTTAGATCCACATACTTTGGGGGTATCCAGATTAGAGATGTTAGCAGAAACCATGGAAGAGGTTATATACAGAGACTCAGTTCTAAGTGGAAAGTAAGGCAAATGTTGTCTCAAGTAGGTCTTTTATACCAGCTGGTCCATGGAAGTTCTGTGGATGTTGGACAACCAAGAATATCTTGCCTCAACTCTTCTCTCATTTTTGCTTGTATCTCGTCATTCTCATCGGTGTTTTTACTCTGCTAACTAGTACTCATTACACACGTTTGGTCTAGGATATTCTCAGCATCTTTCTTTTGAACGACATTTCTGTTACCTCTAGCCTCTTCTTCTGTGAGGAGATTGTCCAGCATTCATTGCCATATAGGAAAGCCAATATTACATAACAGTTCAGCAATCTTTTTTTTTTGTTTCTAATTAAGTTTTTCCTGTTTATTAATACTTTGCTTAGCTTTTGGAAGGCATCTTTTGCTATTGCAATGTGCCATCAGATTTCCATGTTGCATTTTCCGTTCTCTGTTAAAAAAAAACTTTCAAGATATTTAAATTTTCATACTTGCTTGATTTTTCAGATTTTTTTTAAAAGCTCGCTTCTTTCAAAACTTTCTGTAGAAATTCCTGCATTTTTAAAATGTGTTTGCTTTTCAGTACTGTGTCATCTGTATATCTTGTTTTAAACGTCTTGGAATAATAATGAATCCTGGTAGGACTTCTAAAATCCTATGGCAGGATCAAACTTTGTTGTAAAGGTTGAATAACTCTGGTGAAAAGAGTCAGGCTGTAAATACAATACTTGAATGTCAATATATTTTTTTTTCTCCTTCTTCAGGATCGCCGTACAAGTTTTTGCAAATGAACAACTCAACAGTATTTAAGAATCTATGAGGGTGAAGATGCAGATTTCTTTAAAAGTTTCAAGTTTGCCAGTGCCTGACCCCAGTGACATAAACCAGGCATCAATGGTTCGATTTGAAGATATTCAATTTTCATTGGATAAAATTAGCTGTTATTTTCAGTGTTAAAGGTTGTCCATTTCAAATTATTAAATATTTTTTTTAATTATTTATTTTTATCAAAAGTAAAGAAATTAAAGAAAAATTATTTAAATAATATGAACATTTTTATCATGATCTTTAAAAGAGGAAAAAAACATCAAAAAAATGAGCAATAGAGGAATTCTATTTCATCAATGATGAGCAAAGAGGAAGTCATTTTTCAATGAAATGAATTCTTTGAGGAAGGAAAAAACTGTGATCAAAATCCAAAGCAAAAGAGGAACAATTTTTCGATTTTAAATATTGGTCATTACTTAATCCTCGTTCATAAAAATGAGCAACAGATTTACAAAACATCATGATAGAAACAGCAGATAGACTCTATTTGAATTTTTGAGATCTGTCATTATCATTATTTATATTTGGTCTAATGTCCTCATCTTTGCTTCTGTTTTCATAACATGTGACTATAGAATATCATTTATTCTTTCAAGTCGTTTTTCATATTGATTCAATCAATTGTTCATAGCAAGATCCTTTAAAACTAAAAGTAAAAAATGCAATTTTATATAATAAAAATTTCACTTGATAAGCCACATAGTTGCACATATCATTTGAGACTTTCATATGGATGTCATGCATGTTGCTAAATCCATTCAGAAATATCTAAACTGTCAGATGTATACAACATATATGTTAACATTCCACATGACTTCAAATAAAAGGTTAGGAAGGAAACTCCCATCAATAGTGGAAAATGTGATAACTGCTGGATTTGAGAAACATGTTTTCCTGAAAAATTATTTTAAGAGAAGGATTTTATAAATTTCAACTGAAAGCAGTAACTTAAAGGATTCAATGAATACCAGATGTGTCCTTGTAAAAAACTTTTAATTCATTCATTCACATAAATAAATTCTGTAGCAGAATTAGACCAGAAATATAGCCAAAATAGTGTGTTTTTGTTCCAGATATTGGAACAAGAAATGTAATTTTTTTAATCTGAATATTTTCAGATTAAATAATGCAAATTCACAAAGTTCTATACCTATGTTTCTGCAGTTAGATCCTGTATGATGTAGCTTTCTCATGATTATTAAACAGAATTTGAGTACTGATTCCAATATGGTATTAATTGCAACAGAGATGAGGTGTGTTAAAGAAATTTACTGCATACTCTAAATATTTGAAAAACAAAAAAAAAAATTATTAATATTATATTTAAAATTTTGTATCTGTTTTTAATTTCAGCTGCGGAATTGCGATCAAACAAAGTTCTTGAATCTTCAGGAGAAAAATTTCTCCAACCTTTCAAAGACATAATGACAGAATTTTTTACCAAAGGTAGAATTTATAATAATTTTTCTTGCTTTGACAAAGAATTTTTTTTTAGATTAAATTGAAATGCCTCAAAAATTTTTTTGTTTTGAGGATTCCTTTGAATGAAATTTTTTTTTTTATCCTTTCATGGTTTTAATTTTCTGAACTAATGATAATGTTATTCTTCTTCTATGTGCCATGTCCCTTTAGGACATTGGCAATCATGGCTCTCCTCAATTTCCTGGGTTTGGAGCTCTTAATAAATTTTGTCATTTTGTTATTTCTTCTAAATTCTGTTCAGCCACTCATTTATTCAAGCTCACTATGTAGGTTAGGCATTATTTTCTTCTGTTCTTGTGAGTATCAAATTTTCCAAACCCTCTTTATGTGCCCTAGAAATTTCAATAGCTTCTTCCTGATGTTAAGCATTTTCTCTAAAACTTTGTCATTGCACACATGTTCAATTGATGGTATCCTCAGCATTTCCTGTAGAACAACATTTCTGCTGCCTTTATCTTGAGGAGATTGTCCAGTATTCACTGCCACATAATATAATATTGCGTAATAGTTCAGTACTCTTTTCTTAAGTCCTTACTAATGAATAATTTGCTTCCTGACAAGAATCAAACCTGTATTTTTTTTTTTTTTCTCTCATGGGAAAAAAATGTCATTTAATATTCATGCCGGGAAACCATGATAAAATTTAAAGTTCAATTACCTAACAGAGAATGAGCACCTGGTTGGGACCTTTTTGTCTTTATATCTGCTAGCTGATAGAGAACAACTGAAAAAAAAAATATCTCCTATTTCAAATTTTAAAATAAATCTCAGAGAATGAGTCAAAGAGTAAGAGAAGAGCAATCATGGGGAAATGGATAATTTTAGTTGTTAACAAATGCTGTTTTCCTTTTGGGAAAATAACATTCAAATTTCATTGGGTAACGAAATTTGTTGGGAATTGTGTTTGAATGAATTTGTAATTTAAAAATAAATGTTGTGAGATTAAGGCCCTTTGGGATTAAATGTTCCAAAATGGGAAATTAATGTTCAGGATGATTTCTTTGGTAACAAAGAAAAGAATACTGAGCTGTTACGTGACATCTGTCTTTCTTTACGGCAGCGAATGTTGGACGATTTCCTCAAAGATGAAGAAGAGACTCCAGGTGACAGAGATGTGGTTCTACAGAAGGATGCTAAGGATATCATGGACCGAGCATGTGAGCAACGATGAGGTCTTAGAGAGGTTGCAAACAAGGAGGAGGCTTATACTTAACATCAGGAAGAGGCAGCTGAAGTTTCTGGGACACATAATGAGGAAGGAGGGCCTGGAGAATCTGATACTCACAGGTCAAATAGAGAGAAAGAGAGACAAGGAGAAACAACGCATGACATACCTGGTAGGCTTAAGCAAGTGGATGACAGAATTTGGTCTGGTGGAGGATGCAGAGGGAAGGAACTTGTTGAGAGCTGCATGGATAGTGCGAGGTGGAGAGCCATGATCGCCTACGTCCTAAAAGGACATGGCATATAGAAAGAATCAAGAAATATCACATCTTCATCTAAGATCCCTCTAATATATGAGACAAAAGAAAGCTGAATTTTATTATAGTTTTTTCTTATAATATTACTCGTATAATTAAAAAAAAAATTCTTCTATAAACTTTACAGAATAATTTGAATCTTCTTCTATTTACCATGTCCCTTCAGAACATTAGCAATCATGGCTCTCCACAACTTCCTGTTAAACATTATTAATTACATATACTGGACTGAATGTTTGATAAATTTTGTAGAAAATATTTCTCAAACATTCAGGCTGGTAAATGTAATTACTGTTTAATTAAAGAACAGAGCATTTACTCAAGTAAGTGTATCCATAAAATAATGTATAAACAGAAAATATATTAAAATATTTATCAGATTTAATCCATTTCATATATATATATATATATATATATAAAAACTTTAAACATTATATTTCAGTAGATACTCTGTTTATTTTTAAAACAGTATTTTTATTTCATGTACTGGCCCAAATATTTGAAAAATCTTATTAAAGAAAATGCGCCCCACCACTGTAGGATTCAAACAATTGCATGGCCCATTGCAGGAGAAACAACTTTTGACCACTCAACTACGAAGAGTTTCAAGCAAAGTTCTATCTAGCTTTAAAGCAAAAGTGAGCAGGAGCTGGCACAGGTTTGAATCCTGCCAGAAGGCTCATTTTATTTCATAAAATAAAATTACTGTTAAATAAATAAACAGAGCATCTACTCAAATACGGGTATCTTCTAAAAATAACATTTAAAGTAATAAGATTATGTTCGATTAATAATAAATAAAAATCCAAAATTTCTTTCTCTTCTTTATATATATATATATATATATATATATATATATAAAAATAAAAATTATCTATAAATTAAAATATTTCATTCAATATTGTTCAAAATCAAACAAACAAAAAATTTTTTCTTTTTAATTCCACCTATGATGTAAAACTTTATCCACCTCAAGAACTAATGTTGGATAGTTTAAGATCCTCTGTTTATTTTTCACATCCACTGACAAAGAACACAAGCCTGTTTTCAAAAAATGAAATAATTTGGAACCTCAGTCTCTGTGCTTATTTTTGTCACCTGGTTAATATTAATACATGCTTTTTGTACTGATTTCATTGGTACCTTTTTCAAAAGACCAACTTAATGCCTATATATATATATATATATATATATATATATATATATATATATATGTTAATTAGTAAGACAAAAAAATCACAAAAAAGATTATTTTCCCACTCAAAAAAAAAAAAAAATTTTATTTTCTAAAATTAATATTTTTTGCAAAGGGTTGATAAGTCATAAAAAATGAATCGACCAATCAATCCGAGAGGATGCTTCCATCATCGCTACAATGTTAATCTTAGGGTGAATTGTTATCTATCCTACATATGCTTATAATATGAACATCTTACTTCTACTCTTTACACTTTAACAACAGACTCATTCAGTAGCTCTACTTTGAGTAGCTCTTGGGCATTTTTGGAAATAAAGTAAAATTGCAGTTTTTGAAAACCTCAAGATTGCCAAAAAGAGCAGGATGTGTCTCTTGTTAATTCTCGTATTTCTTCATTGAGCAATCTCTGCACTGTTAATAATAGTAGCAAGGAAAGACTATCTTTGTTTCATACACACAAGGGAGAAAGTTAAAGAGAAGAAAACAGATTTTGAAGTTGAAAGTCACAAGTACACAGTGGCGGGTAGGTAAATGGCTGCATTGGTAAAATAGTGTTCTAAATGATTTATGATATTTTTTTTAAAAAAAAGAAAATATTAAAAAAATACTTTATATTTTAACAAGTTTTCCATTTGTTTATTTAATCTAATTTTTATTTATATACCTATTTCTAACTTGTTGCTGTCTAAAGAAATTTAATATAGAGGAGAAAAGCTTTCATAAACTCAGTTATGTGCCATGTGTGATACACACTTAGGCAATCATGTATCTTTTGATACATGACTGATGAGGCAGATTTTTTTCCCCTGCAGTAGGTTGCCATTTCTTTTTGTGGTAGACCAGTTTCCATCCAAGGCTATTTTCCCATAGCTGGTGGGAGAAGAGGAGGATTCCTACCTTTCCCAAGAGTATTAGCACGTAAGTGAATGTAATGGATTTGACTAGAATTCAAACGTGGCTCTCTGATTCCATAATCCAAGCTGCTATCCATTACTCACTGTGCCTCCAAGTCAGTCATGTGCCACACCTGATACATGCTTAGGTGATCATGTATCTTTCAATACATGATTGACAAGGCAGATATTTTTTTTCCCTGCAGTAGGTTGCCATTTCTTTCTGTGGTAGACTAGTTGCCATCTAAGGCTATAGCTGTGGGGAGAAGAGGATTCATGCCTTTCTCAAGGGTATTAGCATGTAAGTGAATGTAATGAATTTGACTGGAATTCCTCAATCCGAGCTGCTATTCATAAACTACTGAAAACAATGTAAAGGGCACCTCACCATGGTGTAATGGTTAACAAGCTGGTCTTCTTATTATAGTCAATCTTTATTTAGTAGCTTACACTTGTGCTGGACAAGCTGAGTGTTGCATCATGATATAATGATAATCAAGCTAGTCTTGCAAATCATTATTAGTAAGCATGATCACCTTAAACTAGTGGCCTTGTCTCAAACACACTTAATTTTCCTAAATATATACTGAGAGTTGCATCCTGATACAATGGTAATCAAGCTAGTTGTGCAAATCATTATTAGTGAGCATGATCTTTATTGGTCACCTTAAACTAGTGGCCTTGTCTCAAACACACTTAATCTTCCTAAATATATACTGAGAGTTGCATCCTGATACAATGGTAATCAAGCTAGTTGTGCAAATCATTATTAGTGAGCATAATCACCTTAAACTAGTGGCCTTGTCTCAAACACACTTAAGCTTCCTAGATATATACTGAGAGTTGCATCATGATATAATGGTAAGCATGCTGGATTCGTAGTAACCACGGTGCAGTGTGTTTTGACCTAACCAGCTCTCCTGTAATTGTGGCCTTGTGTCAAAAGGAATTAAAAAAAAACCCAAACATAAACTAATTTAAATAGTCTGCATACAAATTTCCAAATGTGAGTAAAATTTCATTCTTGTTGTTAACTGACTTTGCGACATTTCAATTAAAATGCTTTACTTGTTAAATTCTTCTTTTATGTACCATATCCCTTCAGAATGTAGGAGATCATGGCTCTACATAACTTGTTGTCCTTTACAACTCTTAATAAATTTTGTTATTTTGTTATCTATCCTAAATCCTATTCAGCCATCGATTTACTCAAGCTCATTAGGTTGTGTTGTTTTCCTCTGCCCTCTTTAGTCTGTCCTGTGAGTATCAAAATTTCCAAGCTCACTTTCCTCATTATGTGCCCTAGAAATTTCCACTATCTCTTTCTGATGTTTAGTATAAGTGTCCTCTTTATTTCCTTTTTCGCTAAAACTTTGTCATTGCTCACATGTTTAATCCATGGTATACTCAGCATCCTTCTGTAGAACCACATTCCTGTTGCTTCAAGTTTCTTCATCTGTGAGGAGATTGTCCAGCATTCACTGTCAGATGACTGATATTGCACAACAGTTCAATACTCTTTTCATTGTTTCTAATGAAATTTTCCTGTTTCTTAATACTTTGTTTAAATTTTGGAAGACATCTTTCGCTATCCCAATATACCAATCAGTGAATTTCAGCTATAGGTTAAATAGTAAGACTTGTATTAGAAAATCATTATTACCTCAAAAAATTCTTACAATCCAAAAATGTGTTTTGGCTTTAAATAATCTTAAAAGGGTTAATAAGCCATAAAAGATAAATCAATCAAAAAAAAAAATTTGCCATTTTTTTTTTGTTTTATTTCTATTACAGGAAAGCAAGAACTGAAGGACCAACAAGAAAATCTACAGGAATGCCAGAAGAAGTGAGTTCATTTTTGTTTAATATGTTCACTGCTCTATATGTGTGTATGCCTTGTGGCATATTGTCTATTGTTTTGAACAAACATGTGCATCCATTCCACAGATTTATTTAAGACTAGCAGTAGAGCCCAGCGTTGCCCGGGGATGTAACAGTAAGAGATAGATCAAGTATCGACCATCATAAAGACTGAAAAATAAAATTGACAAAGATTATTTTTTAAGGTTAACGGACACGCATGTCTTAATTTTTTTTTTTTTTTTTTTACGAATTGGTCAAACCCAAACTCAAACAAAAACATTGTTTTCAATCGTTATGAGTCTACCGATTGAATAGAATTTTATTATAAACAATTGTCTTGTAAATGGAATTTTTAAAGCATTCTGAATGTAAAAATAAAGAAAAAAGTGTGCAAGACAATAAGAAACACTACCTGTGAAAAAAAGTGAAGTTTTGTTGAAATCAGTTGAAAAATGTAGGAAATCCGATCTCATATATAAACGAACACACACACACACACACAACCTGGTGACAGAATCGTGTTTTATCGTGTTTTCAAATTGATTTCATGCAAAAACAATTGTTTTTCCAATTTTTGGCACTGTCAGAACCACCACAAGGTAATTTTACGTAGTCCTGTGAAGTTTTGTTGAAATCGGTTGAAAAATGTAGGAAATCTGATCCAATATATAAACGTACAGACGCACACACACACACACAATCTGCGTTTTATAATAAGTAAGATTATAAAAAGCCATAGCAATGAATTAGATGTGCAAAGCTACAGCATCAGAGTGTAGTGGAAACTGCTTCAAGATGTCTATTGTTACCTATCCTCTGTATCTCCATAATCTCAAGTAACCTCCAGGAGAGTGAATCATTGTTGAGTGACTCAGGCTAAGATTATATTGAATCCATTGCTAGATCTGCTGCTAGGAAAGTTGGTTCATTGTGAACAATCCCTGACAATTTTTCTTGCCAGAATCTATCTTACCTCTATCTTAAACATTTACAAGTCTACCATTTGTTTATACTTCAAATATTGCTGTTACATCTTGTCTTGTGCTTCTGCTATGTATTTAGAGACGCTTGATAAAACACATATAAGAATCTGCAATGTTATTGATCCTGACCTGGCATCTTGACATCAGTCACTTTACAACTGCTGTAATATTTGTTCTGATGACCTTTCCTCTTTGGTAAAAAGACTTTATGAATGTCAGTGCAATAGTAGATTAGTGGCAAAGTCTCATTGTTTTACTGTTGAAATCACCATTACTTCTATGCTAACAGTTTCTTGTCTCACTTGTGAAACTCTCTTCTGGCTTCTTGCTTTCTAGTCAACTTTGATCTTCCAAAACTTAAATGTGATATCAGTCGTTATCTTCTGTATTCTTAATTCCTATTCTTTTATTGTTTTTTCTCATATTCTCTCACACTCAGGAAGACGTTGCATCTTAGTGGCTTCATTGCCTTGATTGGGGGCGAAATGATTAAAAAAAGAAAAGAAATCCTATTCTTACATATCTTACCTCATAAAATCATTTCCTAAGATCAACGGTGAAAAAAGGCTTTGAGTGAGTAAAGCCTAAAGGTATTATCAAAGGTCATACTTTTTTGAACCTTGTGGACTGGCACTACAGAATCCCAAACAAAGAACAGAAACCATATCACTTAAAGACTATCAACAGCAGCAACAGCTAAAATGGATAGCACATGTAAATCAAAGAAAAAATAATGACATAATCAAGATATTAACATTCTATACCACATCAAATAAAAACTTTGGAAGGAAACCTTTATATAGAAGCATCAATGACAACTCCTGGACTTGAGAAACCTGTTTTACTAAGAATTGTTTTAAGTTAAAGATTTTATAAATTTCAATCGAATACAGCTGCTCGGTCAATGAATGCCAAATGTTTCTCTTGTACAGTGTTGTTCTACAACATATACTCATTAGCCAACTTTTCTCCCATCTTAATCTTTACATTACGCTTTATTTCTCCTATAACTAACATATGCAAATAAGTAAAATCCTATTTGCCAATCCTATTACACCTCCTTGAATCGTAAAGGTTTAATGCGCCTTTCGTTGTTCTTGAATTTCTTCTACAACCTTTTTTTTTAACTCCTGTCCTGCTTCATGTTTATGTCCAGTTCTTTTTAGAATTTCTGAAATCTCAATGAAAATCAAATTCTCCAATTGTTTAGCGTATGCTATAACAAAAATTATAACCTAACAAATCTAGAAAGAGATTGGTTATTTCATTTTCTCCATCTCTTGCTTTGTTGGCTTTCAATTTTTTAGTTCTACCCTGGGCTACAAATCACCAGAACCGAGTCTCTACAAATTCTGGTTCATTCAAGCAAATTAAACACCATCCTAGATAAGCCGATAAACTACACTCGCATCCTGGGTAAGACGATAAACTACATTCAACAGCAAGGCCTCTGATCAGGAGGTTTTGAGGGGTGTGGGCATTAAATAACCTATTGAGGTTGATATGCTGTAAAACAAACCAAACCAAACTAAGCAACTTAAATAATCTGCAATGCCATATTCTTGGATAGTGTTGTTTGACATTTGATCAGGAATCAACTTCCTCCTGCTTGACTCTTTACTCTACAATTTTTTTCTCTTATAACCAACATATGCAAATAGATAAAATCTTATTTTCCATGCCCACTACAGTTTTCTTATAGGGAAATGGATAATATTGCCCCTACCATTCAGTAAGGGACTACATTAAATGGCTCTTAATTCTTGTATTGGGTTGTCAGCAGTAAAAAAGAAAAAAAAATAGTGATCCCCTAACATGGACGTCCATAGATTGAAACTACATTTTGCTACCAATGAAAAGCTACAAATGTTAAAGTAAAAACCAATGTAAAACTAACAGTTTTAGTAGGTATCTCTTGGAATCTTTTCTTTATCTGTAAGGAAATTGTCCAGTTCTTCTTGCTATAAACAACTATCAACATGACACAGTAGGTCAGCATTCTTTTATAGTTTATTTTGTAAATGTAGTGAAGGAAATGGGATAATGCTTTAGTAGCATATCGTTGCTTTCATCAGTATGGCTGATGCTAACCTCCATGAGAGTGATGCATTGTACCTTCTCAGGCTAACATTCTCGGCTGACATGAAATGGAAAGATTATACTGAATCCATTGCTAGGTCTGCTGTTAAAAAAAATTGATTCACTGTATTTGTGCTAGACAATTTTTCTCTCCTGAATCTATCTTGCATATCTATGTCTACCATTCATACATGCCTTGAATATTGCTGCCAAATATGGTCTGATGCTCTTGTTGTATATCTAGAGATTCTTGGCAAAACCCAAAGAAGAATCAGCAATATTATTGGTCCTGACTTGGCATCACAGCTTCAGTCATTTTCTCACTTCTGTAATGTAGCTTCCCAGTGATTTTTCTCTAAATACTTTCATGGTAATTGTTTAGATGAACTCTTCACTATGCTACTTAGACTTCATGAACTTAAATGCTGTACTAGATTGCTAGCAAGATCTCATCAATTAAGTGTTGAATTGGCTCGATGTAACCGTAAGTTCTGTGCTAACAGTTTCTTCTCTTGCACTTCTCACTTGTGGAACTCTCTTCCGGCTCCATGCATTCAACCTAAATTTCCAAAAATTTAAATGCAATGTCAATCGTTATCTACTGTCCTCTTGATTACTCTTCTATTGTTCTCACTCCCTAATAATGTTTCTCTTTTTTTCTTATTCTTTCACATTCAGTCAGTAACCCCCTTGTGTCTTAGTGGCTCTACTGCCTTGAATGAGGTGATAAGATTTTTTTTTTTTAAATTGCTCCTCAGCTGAATGTTTTTCCATTGTAAAATGTTTGATTTTCAGAGAAATTTTAGAATTTCCGTGAACAGATTGTACATAAATATATTCATCTTCTAATGTATCATATCTGTTGTTCTAGGTTTGATGAGACGGTGCGTTTCTATTGTGTAAAGCCTAAAAGCGGGGAGAAGGTTGTCACTGTGGGATTCTTCTTCTCCCATTGGGGTTCATTCTGCAAGGACTTTAAAGATCTTTGGAAGCGAGAACAGCAGATTGTGGTGAAGGAAAGGTGAGTGGTCTATCCATAAAGTTTTTAGTTTTGTAAATTTCTCATTGTTTGCTCATGTCATTTTATGATATGACTTTTTAAAAAATTAGTTTAGAAAAATTTATTTTTTTTATTTTTTTTTTTTTTTTACAAGTTCTCTCCTATTTATGACTGTTTAAACCACAAGCAAAACTTGTAAAATAGTATGCTGCAAAATCTATAATTAGAAATTAGATATTAACTTGATCTATTTACTTTGTAAGCAGTACTAATGAAAACTGTTTAGACTGAGTGGTAAGGCAGGAAATGTTTCATATTAAGTTTAGATAAATTCTTTTCAATTGCAATTGTTGTTATGTGTCTAGTTTTATTAGGCTGAGTGGTTAAAATGTTAACCTTCCAATCATGAGACCAAGGTTCAAATCTTACCAGGAAGGTGACCTTGATGTTATCAACTTGGGGAGGAAATCCCAATGTATGGCACCATGTGTTAGTGTCTGAAAGCCATACTAGAGACTAGCAGTAGAGCCCGGCGTTGCCCGGGGATGTAACAGTAAGAGATAGATCAAGTATCGACCATGATAAAGACTGAAAAATAAAATTGACGGACATGCATGTCTTAATTAGTTTTTTGTTTTGTTTGTTTGTTTTTTTTTATGAATTGGTCAAACTCAAACAAAAACATTGTTTTCAATCGTTATGAGTCTACCGATTGAATAGAATTTTATTATAAACAATTGTCTTGTAAATGAAATTTTTAAAGCATTCTGAATGTAAAAATAAAGAAAAAAAGTGTGCAAGACAATAAGAAACAGTACCTGCCAAAAAAAAAAAAGTGAAGTTTTGTTGAAATCGGTTGAAAAATGTAGGAAATCCAATCTCATATATAAACGAACACACACACACACACAACCTGGGTTTTATAATGAGTATAACTCGATATAAGTTGTCCCCCTTTTATTCTCGTGACAGCGATGCCTCTTAATCATGTTTTCAAATTGATTTCATGCAAAAACAATTGTGTTTTTTTTAATTTTTTTTGCTGTCAGAACCACTGCACCCCCTTTTTGTAATTTTACTTGTAGTCCTGTGAAGTTTTGTTGAAATTGGTTGAAAAATGTAGGAAATCCGATCCAATATATAAACAAACAGACACACACACACACACACAACCTGGGTTTTATAATAAGTATGATTAACCCAAGCTTTGTAATTGAAATTGTGTAAACAGAATTGTTTGTTGGTGGTTGTGCTCACATGAAGTCACAAATCATTGTGACCAAGGTTTTGAGCATACTGGCCATAGTATAGTGTTACTGACTTATGGAAAGTAGTATGCACTCAACTGCTTTGTGCATAATAGCTGTAGATATTTATAGTCTTTGTGACTTCAAATGTAAATGAGTCACTTTACCAAAGAGGTTTTATCTCCTTATTTTTCTTAGTACTATTTCTGGGAGCTTTTGTCTCTTCACTATCTTCCTCCCTCTCTCTCTAAGAGATTATCTAGATATGGGAGATTGTGATCTTTTTCTTTTTCCATAGGAGTGTTCCTCCAATGATTGTTCCTGTCTTGGGTATGACAATAAAGTATATCTGCATCCTGGATAAGACTATAAACTACATCCAGCAGCAAGGCCTCCGATCAGGAGGTTTTGAGGAATATGGTATTCGCAGGTCCATCCTGACCTGGGGTGATCGCACCTGTTAGGATCCCAACTATGGGCAAATAGTTAACACCCAGACTTGTGTAAAAATAGGTTTTAATACCAGAAATACTTTGTAATAAAAAAAAAAATTATTACCAGCAATAATTTTTGAAGGAAAGATTATTATCAGCAAAAAAAAAAAAAAAAAACCATCAATACAAACAGCTATACATTCTTTGAAAAAAATATTACCACCTATAGATTTCTTCAAGGGAAAATATTCCCAGAAATAGATTTTTGATGAAAAAAAAAAAAAAAATTTTGTCGGCATTAAATAACCCATTGAGGTTGATATGCTGTAAAACAAACCAAACCAATGATTGTTTATCTTCAGAGTCTATATTATGATTTCACTGTCTAGTTCGTCTTGCTTTGATTTGACACTTTCACCCTTATCACTTTCAGGCTCACGGTACATTTCTTCTTCACGATTGTGTTGCAATCTAACTTGGTCGGCATGCATTAATATCCCATTTCCATTCTTTTCTATTATCATAGTCTTTTGTCCATTTTGCATTACGAGTCTTGCCTCTTGTAGATGAGATTCACTATTCTTTTTATGCAATAGTTTTTTATTTGGGGGCATAGGTCATGGTCATTGGGGCTCTAATTTGTCTACCCATGAGTCTTTTTGATCTTTCAGTATGTGATATTGCCCTATAACTTTACAACAATATAAAAAGAAATGTTTCTATCTTTTCTTTCTGTTGTACATATGTTTTCAATTCATATTTTATAGTTTGCACCATCTTTTCTGCTAATCCATTTGATTGTTGATGATATGGTGGGGTTTTATACGGTTGCATCCAATTTTGTTCAACCATTGGCATACTTCCTCATCACAGAACTCTGGGGCATTGTTATTTACTATCATTTTCGGAAATCCATTTTTAGAAAATATGATCCATAACACTTGTTTCACTGTCAAACTTCTTTTGTTGGAAACCTGTATTCTGGCCAGCCTGGATACAATTCTACCAGTATCAATAATAATCCCACTCCATTAACATGGACATAATCCATGTGTACCTTATCAAGGTTGGGACTTTAAGGCAATGTATGTGTTTTTGTCTGTCTAAATTTCTTTATTTCATTACATGTTTAATACCTTTTTATGTATTCTTTTACATCTGCAGAATAGCCTGGCCACCATACTTCTAGCCTTAATCTCCTTTGTGTAGACATTATTCTGCAATGAACATAGTCATGTATACCTTTTATAATTTTGCTCCTTTGCCTTGTTGGTGGTAGAACCACTGTTTCCATTACAAATTACGCCTTTTCCTATGGTTAACTTGTGTTTAACCTCTTTCAAACACCTTTCTGCATGTGAACAATTATTCCACTTATTATTTTTTATCCTGAACAGTATACTGTTCAATATGGTATCACGCTTGGTATCTTCAGCTAAATTATCTATCAACAAAATATCAGTTTTGACTGAGGGTAATTCAAAATTTTCCTAGACTTTCTCACTTTCAGAAGTAATAAACCTCAATCTCAACCAAAGCATCTACATGTAGAATAGTATTACCTTTCATGGACTCAGTATCAAACGCCATTAGCATTAAGGCCCATTTTAGAATTCTAGAAGACATTACCTTAGGCAGTTCCTTCCTAGGATTAAATATGAATTCTAAATGTCAGTGGTCAGACTTTAGTAAGAATTTCATTCCAATTAAAAGCTGATGAACTCTATTTATTGTCCATATTATGGTCAACACTTCTTTCTCAATATTTGAGTAGTTCAATTCGTCTTTTGACAATTCTCTCGAAAGATACATTAGAGGATAATCCTTCCTGAGCTAATATTCCTGAAACTGTCTTCACTTGCATCAGTTGTTACTACTATTCTCTTTTTAGGTTCAAATATTTTTACTATTAGCTTCTTTGCCAGAACAGCTTTTAAATTTTCAAATGCCACTTATTGTTTTTTTCTTCAAATAAATTCCATGTTCTTTTTTCTTAAAGCTTCAAAAGATTCTGTTAATTTAGAGTATCGCTTTACATATCATCTGTAGAAATTTACAAGACCTTTTTGTTCTTATGTACTTCAACTTTTAATATTTTGTCAATTAACGATTGGTCTGGTGATACTATTTACATTATTCAGACTATTGTCCTCATCTTTGTTGCCATATTTATTACAAGATTTTTGCCGTTGTACGCTCCCGGCTTTCTTCAGGTGGTTAGAATGTCGACCTGAACCCTTTATTTTGCTCACTGGGGTAGACTGTTCTAGTTCCACATGCCATGCTTAATGGATGTCAGTTATCTCCTGTTAATTCCCATCTCCAAGTTCTTTACTACCTTAACTGGGTATTGAACTCTTTGGATCCTGTCACTGGATCTAACCAATGCCTTTATCCACTGTGCTAGGAACAAAAATTCCCTGGGCCCCGACAACTGTCGATTGTGGTGGCCTCGGTGTGAGAACCAATCCCTCTCTCTGGTGCAATGAGAGAGTGCAGGCTTGGGCAGCTGTTCCCCAGGGCTCGATACCTCTCAGTATAATTTTCCTCAATTTTCTTTGATGACACTGTCCCTGAGCGCACTCTGCCCAAAAGACAGACACACAACTGAGAGATGGTTATAGTAATTTATGCACAAAAAGCTCAATATCTGTATTATATATTGTTTACTTCTAGGCAATATCACTCTTCAGGTTTAACTAATTTGCATATTGATTTAAAAAAAGTTTATTTCATTAATTAACTGTCCTTCATTACTGTTCTTTTATTCAAGGATTGTTTTGATTTTCTTATCCAAAATAGCTCTGTTTAGGAATATTGTTATATAGGCAGAAAAGTCTTTGAAATTTGCATTTTACTTGGCCTACAACAAGTTGGCATCTATTTGTAAAACTTTCCTTAACTATAACAAGCCAATTTATGAATGAAATATTAATTTAAAATTTTTGTTTCAAATATTTCAAGTAGTGAATATATCTTACTTTGCAAAGCGATAGTGAGCATGCAAAGCCTGCTAGTAATTTATATAAACTTAATTTAAAATTTTTGCAACTGCTTCTAAAAGAAAATACGTAAGCTTTATTTGTGAGAGAAGACACCTGTGAAAAATGTGCCTTTATTTATAACAGAACATTCTTTTTATACAAACTGAATGAGTTCAAATAACTTTTTTGTCTGAACAAATATATATTTTTTGTTTGAATATTCCATAAGATAACAGTGTTAAAAATAAAGTCATTAAATCATCATCATCATCATTATTATCAGTCTCATGAGTGGATGATGTTGTAGGATCACTGTTCACCTGAATAGATCAATTATGACTGAGTAGTGAGCTTGA